AAACAAAAAGACGGGGTTTCTGTTATTTTAAAATGTTTGTAATTGCCCCCATATTTTATCAAATATTGACTGGCATCCGAAGATGGAACAGTGTTTCCGAAACATATGTAGTGCCTGTACTTAAATTTTATTAAAACAAGAACGAATAAACCAGTGAACTTTTTGTTTATATAAAATTATCCATATTTTGCATTTTTGTTATTTGGAGCCCTATGGGAATGATTACACAAAAGGTATGATTTATTTGTATCTCTTAAAGATATGTATAGATACTCCTTAAACGGTGCAAAAATTCTCGAAATAAAAAAATAAATATGTATAAGTATGAACTAAATGGTATTAAAAGGCCCTAAACGAACTCATGGTTTAAAACGTGCATATTTTTCTTACTAATATATTTTGCGAGCGATGCGATAAGCCTTTAAACCCGTCTAAGGGGGATACTGCACTGTAGCATTAAATATATATTTTTTACAGATTAAAAAAGATAACAATTTTTGGGAAATGAAGATGCTTCCGAAACTGGAAACATGCTTTCTGCCAGAACTCGTTGACCCAAGGTTCACAAGTTAAAAATAAGAAATATTGTCTTCCTATATTATATTCCTATATTTTATTCTTATATTGTATTACTATTAAATTAAGTATCTATAGGTAATTTTTATTATATTCACGAACCTTCAGAACGTGAAATAATATCAATACTGTTTATTTTTATTTATTATATATCAAAAACTTTCTTCGGTTAATCAGGTGATTAATGACTGACTATATATAGGTAGTTACAATCATGGCAGTAAAAAAGCAGCAATAGCTGGGAAAATTCTTTTTTTGTTCCTCAAAAATTTTTATTCCGGATAAAACTTCGATTTTTAAAAAATAACATTTTGTACTGCCAGCTCTGGCGCCTCCATATTATACAAATCATTTTAGAAGGTAAAAATGTGCCTTTTCAAAATTAAAAATTTCCAAAATCTATTTCTTAAGACGACCCAATTATAGACCTCAAAAATACAAGCAGACATTTTATATTGCTGGCTTCGACATATGGATTTAAGAAATTCAAAAATGTGTCTTTTGAAACCAGAAATTTCCAAAATTTACTTTTTTACAAATACCACAAAAAATTTCCAATTGTTGCAATTTTTTATCAACCCAGCTTAAAATTGCTTACTGTTTGAGATACCTAATGTTAGTAATTAAAAAAATCTTAATTAAAAACCTTGATTTTTAACCGACTTCAAAAAAGGAGAAGGTTCTCAATTCGTCGCGTTTTTTTTTTATTATTTATGTTCAGCGATAATTCTTTGACACGGTGTCCCGATTTCAATAATTTTTTTTTTAGAAAGGAACTACTTCAGGGGTGGTCCCAAATAAATTTGGTCAAAATTTAATAATTGGGTCCATGAGAAAATCCTCCAATTCTTCATTTTTTATGTATGTTTAGCGATAATGCTTTACCACCTTGTCCGATTTATATGATTCTTTTTTTGACGGTTTTTTTAAATTTTTAATTTCTAATACTTGTAAACTTCAAGTATTTCGTAAAATTTAACATTTAAAAGTAAATAGAAACTAAGGATTATTATTTCTATAGGTAAAAACTTTGTTAGGCAGTGATAAAGTTTAATTTTCTTGTTCCAAAACCGAACATCTGATTTTGCGAGCAAAATAACTCGGGTAGGTACTAAAATGCATAAAGCAGTTAAATACTCATAAATGCTCTCCGCACCTGAAGATTACGAGATTCGAAGGGTCAGCGGTCAATTTTGTATTTAGGACATACGTCCTTAAATTTACTTCTTATTAAAGGTACCATTTGGGGAGGCGCGTCAGGAGACAAAGCGGCCACTGAGACGACCCCAAGATCGAGTAGGACGACAGATGCATAAATGTTACGCTTCGTACATTTCGCAAGCTTGAGAAGTGTCGCGCGACACTTACAGGATAACCATTCGAGGGAACGATCAGCGTTGCCAGACCTACTGTTTTCACGTAGATCCACTGTTGTCTCTAGCAAATTTTGTTCTTAATTTATTAAGTTTGCCTCATTATTCAGCAAATGGTTAAAGAATATTTTCTCTAGTAAATTTTCTGCAGTAAAAGCAGCGTAATAAGCATCCACTACTCTAGGTTGGCTCCATAAAAAAAAACATCAAGATAATCATTGTTTTTATTTAAAATGATACAAAGAATTAATAGGGCATCATAAAAAGAACATGCACACTACGATTTTGAATTATCTGATTCAGACTGATCTAAAAGAAGTACCTATTATTTTTCATTGTTTTTTTTTTGTTTCCGTACGTTAAGTATATATTAAAAATATTATTTGTGTTTCTTTGTTTACTTTCTAATTTGGGTCGAAAAAAGTTTATTTTTCGTTTCTTATATACTTGTTTTTTTTTACTACACTGCAAATTTTAATTATTTCCCCCTGTATTAAAATCTACTGTTCAGATCTACGTTTTTTTTTTCACCCATACTGTTCCAAAATCTGGCAACACTGCCTAGATCGAAAGAAATTTTCAACCTATTCACCTCCAAGCGATGCTCGAGGACAGTGACCTCGAGTGCGACAGGCAGCAAACCTTTGCCCCGAGTCAGATGTGTCGTCTGACGACACTTCTCGTGTCGCGCCGTGCGAAATGTGTTTCATATAATTGTATGTAGTTTAGATGTGAAGCGACACTTCTCGGTCGCGTCGGCGGTCGGCGACTACCGAAATGGTACCTTAATAGATGCAATTTCCAGTAACATTCGAGTACGGATTGTCCTGGATTATTTTACGCGTTTTATATTTAGGCACGGCCTTTGATACCTGCGCGGGGAGGTGAAAAAAATTCATAGACGTTCGCTTGCATCTATGGAGCGGTCTTAAATCCTTTTTGAAAGTCTAGATCAAAGAGATCCTTTTTTGATGGACTCGGTTCAGCAATAAAATTTTTGACAGGTAATTTAGATCAAAACGATTTGACGAAGCCATAACATCTTTGTCTACCAATCAAAATAAAATTAAAACTTTAATCGGGGATAAGTTACTTTTACAAAATTCAATTCAAAACTTTAAAAATAATTCTAATTTAGAACAGAAGTAAAAGTTGGAAATGCTTTTGCCAGTTCTCCCACTTTATACACATAAATTGACAGGTTGGCAGCGGATCTTACCGAAGTGGACGCGATACATTGGCGTACAAAATTATTTTATAGATATTAATAACAATTTCGAGTAAATAGTTTAATAAATTGTGAATAGCTGTTGAAATTTTGTAAAATTATAATTTGAATATTATAATACATGTTTAATAATTATTTATAATCCATAAATACATGCGATTGTCCGGTTCCGCCGATAACAATTTAAAATTACTTATTCTATGAAATGACACTGGCAGGTAAACATTACTGTGAAATTCTCGGAGCCGCCCGACGTGGTTTGACGTTTACCCCCTCTCTACCTACCAAAAGACTTTTCAACTTTTACTTTCTATATATTAGCTCAATCAATTAATATTGATCTCTCGTATTAATGAAATACAAGAGTCAATGAAAAATTTAAATAAAGAAAAAACGGAAATATTACATTATTTTGCACTAGAAAGAATCGTCTCATAATTATCTAGTTTTCAAATTGTATATGACATTGAAAAAAAAAAGAGTTACCATTAGCTTGTTAAAATTTAAAACATTTCATAATGCTATTGCAGATCCAACCAAACTATTTTCTGAAATATCACTAGTTAGTAAATAATATTTTAAACTTTGAAAAAATTATCGAAATCAAAAGTTATAGTAAAAATAAAATTGTATTTGTACTTGAAATATCCATAGTCCAATTCAATAATTATAACTACTATCACCTGTACTCTCTACCTATACGTTCTATACAATCCTTTAAAACCATTATTCCTCAATCCATATTTCTTCGTTCAAATGAGCAGCAAACTTGGAATGCAAAGAAGTTACTCAAGAAGGATTTCTCTGCCACGATATCTAAACCTTAAGCATTTCTCTGAATTCCCCCTGTGAAGTTCAGCTGTTGAAATATTCTAACAACAAATATCGACAACTTCCAGTAGATGTCAGCCAAATAAAAATCCAGAAGTTAGAAAAGAACCAATGGATTGTTATCACATCACATAGTGTAGTTACAAAACAAAAATGAGGTAAAAATCTAGACAATGTCATCAATTTATATTTAAATTTGTGTGAAGTGATTATGGACAGTTTTTCTTTAAAATCATTTGAAACCAAAATTCTGAATTTTAAAAATATTGAACAGCAAAGCTTAAATATTTTCAATAACGATTTTTTTCCTTAAAAATGAACTTAAAGCAAGAGCAAATAAACTCAATACAGCTGGATGAACTTAAGAATATTCATAGTGCAATTCATTAGGATAAAATGAAATTAGAAAGATAACGACACATCACCTATGGATTTTCAAAAAATAACCTCGTAGTTTTCATCTAGCCCCGAAGAAATTATGGAAACAATCCCGCCAACTAATTAAATATTAATGTTAACGTTACACTTTATACGCACTCCAGAATCCAAGGGCACTATATCTAGGAGGATATCAAATAGAAGAGGGAGACTTCAAATCCTACACTTCCTTGAGAAAATAGGATTGGAAGGGTCGCTATAGGCATTGAGACATTTCCTTAGTGCAGTGGCGACAGAAGGGGGCACAATAGATCTTTTAGGTCGCAGTGTATTAACACCCCATTATCAACATAACATAACATACACTTTATACAAAGAAGATAAATAGAAGTCAAAATTAAAAAACAAGATCACTGTTAGTTAGCTTTGTTCAGTAAAGGTTTCTTATAAAAATGTCGTTTTTTAAAAAATCATTTTTGAAGTGCTATCACTTAATTTGCAGGAATTTTATTTGGATTATTAAAAATACATACACAAATAATTTTTTATTCTATTAAACCAATATAAGAAAAATATTTTTGTTTTTTTTTTACTACAATTAATTTGTTAAAAACTTAATTAAACATTTTCTTAACCATATTATTTACCCTAATGTCAGCCTTCTTCAATTTATTCTTAACAAGATTTAAGTGATCAGTACATGCTTTATTACCAGGCTCCAATTCTAGTAGCTTGGTAAAAGCTTCAAACGATTTTTCATAATTTGCATCATGTTCGTAAGCTACTCCTAACTTATATAAAGCCTTAACATTATTAGAGTTATATGATAAAACTTTTAAACATAAATTTATAACTGCTTCCCACAAGCCGTTTTTAAAATAACAGGAAGATAAATTGTTATATAGTGTTGCTTTAAAATTGGTTATATCTGAAACTAATACATCATCTATGCTAAGTGGAATAGATTCTACATCTATCAGAATAGAGTGAATAATTTTTAAACCTTTTATAAATCTAAATGCTGCTTCTTTGTTATTATTTTCTTTAAACAATTGATTACCTTTTTCCTTGTGGTGCATAGCTAGGTTATACTTTTTTGCAGTATTCCAATCATAGATATATCCATCAAATTCTAAATCTAATAACTCTATAACTAAATAGATACTTTTGCCAGAGTCTAATATTAAAAATTTTGATTTTTCACCAATTTCCATAGTTATCAAACAAAGTTCAACAGATCTCCATAAATCTCCATCAGTATCACCAATAATAATGAGATAATTGTTAATATCATTAAGAGAAGAGCATTCGGTTATAGTTATTGTGCATTTACTATTTTCACTAGGTTTAAGACCCCAATTTCCTTTAATTAAAACTTGTTTGGTAATATTTCCATCTGGTGAGACCGGTTCCATCTTCAGCATTCTGAACTACTAAACACATCACCAAGAACTTCCAAAGTTAAATTATAATACTCATGAGCTACCTTATCATTAGTGGATATAGGACTCGATAAAGCCAATTTACAATCAGTGAAGTACTGTCCAGTAGTTCTGTTTGAAGTCAGAAGTAAATGCAGAGGAGTTTGAGCGCCTTGTTTTGGACTCTTGATAACTACTATACGTATTGGCCACTGAAGAGCAAAAAATAATGGGTGGCTTAATGGTAAAAAGTTTCTAAAAATTGGCGTTTCCACATTTCCTGGATTAGCAGCATTTACTATAACATTGGTGTCTAAAAATTACCACAAAACATTAAAGCTAAATGCAAAAATAAATCAAATTTCTACTTACTCAATAATTTTTTTGATAGCTCCTTCGTAAATAAATTTATTGCAAGTTTTGAAACTCCATATAAAACAAACTGATCTCTAATTTCAGTCTGACATTTTGTCACTGCATTTAAATCAGTAACATTGACAATTCGGTGTCCTTCTGAGGAAACATTTACAATTCTGGCATGAACAGACTTCTTTAGCAAGTCTAACAAGTAATGTGTTAAAATAAACGGACCTGAAATACAGGGTTTTTATACATCTTCAAATACACATATTTATTATAAATAAATCATTTGTGTAAAGCATAAAATGAAATATATAGGGTGAGGCATCGATATCTTGGAAGATTTTTTTTATAATATATAAGATTGCTTTTATTCAAAATAATTAATAAGCTAATGTGCTATATTTAAAAACAAAAACCTTGTTGGACTTAATGTTATGACTTGAGTTATACAGGGTGGACCGGATTAAATTTGCGTATACAGAGATCTCGTAAACCGTAAGATATACATTGTCGGTTAAATGGGGAAAAAGTTTCGTATTTTGACGGATAATACAATGGTCCATAGAAGTTCCAGATTTTCTGACTGGTTCCGGAGATATTCGATAAAATCCGAAAAACCTCATTTTCGTTTTTTAAGTCGTGCGTTGTTATTATAAAAGATACAAAAAAAAATTATACGAAGTTTTTATTATAAATCAAGTTCCCTATAATCTGCCATGTCAAAATTTTTATTACGACCTTTCGTATTTCCAGGGCCACTTTCAACTTATTTTTTTAAATACGGATCTGGATTTTTAACTGTCATTTTTTATAGCTTTTGTATAGCTGAAGACAACGATATGTTACACTTTACCATTTTACTACGTTTCGTCTATGAAAATTTCATCAGCTATGTAGCTTCTGATGATACCGTTTCTTACTTGATTAAAACAAGATAGCTAATTAAATAATAATTAAAAAACAAAAAATGCTTAAAATGTGAAATTTTAAATATTATTTGAAACATAATACAAGAATTATTTAATTACAAAATGGGTTACAATTTTATATCAAACATGATTAAGTACAACCAGCAAACTAGACTAATGAAGAACGAATTATGGTTGTACACATTCTACAAAGAATAAAGCTAATAACAAAACATAAAATGAAAAACAAAAAAGTCAAGCAATCCCTAAATTCCTATCACCTGATTTTCACTAGTAATACCACTAGAGGTCAAATTATTTCCGGAAATTTTTTCGAGCTCATGAATTTTCTAAAAATATTCATGAGCGAGAAAAAATTTCCTGATATTAATTTGACGTCGCGTGGTATTCGGTAAGAAAATTCCACGCCGAATTATGGTTGAAAATTAAATATTTTTAAAATTTATTTTTCGTTTCTCAACAATGCAAATTATTTTCTCCAAGTCACCAGTGAAACATAAAAGGTGTTGTCGCCTTGATTGTTGAGTTGTCATGGTAACTAAGTGAGACCCTAACCTCGAATATAATTTCAGTTTTGAAGTTGTCAAGCGGCCCGACGTAAAAAAATGTTTCGCTGCAATTATTTAGGCCTTCAAATTGCTTATAGAAATTGCAAATAGAAAATAGTATATTCTTTAATTTTACGTAAGTTTTGAATAACTACAAGTGGTAGAAAATTGTTTTTCTGCGTTTTTATTAACATGCGTAATGAGCGCTTTAAAATGGTATGAAATTCATAACCGCAGCGTCAGCAAGCATCAATCGTAGGAGGCTGTGATCATTGTATTTTGACAGTTCAAAACATTAAATAACTCGCGTTTTGTTGCGATAAAGAATATTGCACAGCAAGTAAAACCAACAAAATTACCTATTTGTTTAAAAATGAATCGATTTGAAAATCATACGCTATGCAAAATATGCGTGAAATTGTCTGATGTAATGATCAATCATTGCACCATGACTTACTTACTCGGATTAATAGAGGATTGTGGCTCCAACTTGAAAAACGAAAATTTGTTCCGAATTGTCCACGAATATTTGCACCTAAACTACGCAAAATTCAAAGTGCTGAATGGGAAAAAGGTGAATAAATTAGTGTCTAAATATTATATATATTTTATTAGACATATACACATAATTCAAAGCGTCCAAAGTCCTGCATTTTCGCCATTAAGAAGAAAAGAAGTGGCCGAAGAATATAGAAAACACCTTAGCATTGTAACTAAAATGTATCAAAACTAAAATGTATCAAAAATGGTCTGTTATTGTAAACGTCAAAAAATTTCCAGTATAATTCGCTGTTGGGTACCCCACGAGAAAAAAATTTCCACTAAAATACCTCCGTTGCCATGGTGATCTGTCAAAAACACGTATTTTGATTGGTTCAAAATTACAGATGTGGAATTTTCTGTAAAATCTTTCGCTTAGGTTTCTCACACCGTATTTTTTCTATCTTTAATGTTTTCATTTTTGCATACATAAGATCTTAACAAAATCATGTTTGCCATGCATGTCAGTTGTAACTTGTCACCAATATTTCTGTTATAATCTGTAACATCTAATATTACAGTACCTTTTTAGCTTTAAATAATTTAAAATTAAATAAATATTATGGTTCGTTATACTGAAGAAGAGAAGAAAGATATGTATGATGTGTACATAAGATGCTATAGGAATGAAACCCGGTCAGCTCAGACTTATTTAGATTTATATCCTGATAGACAACAGCCATCTAAGAGAATGTTTTCTTATATTTCAAAAAATATGGCAGAGCATAGCAGTGTGAAAAAAAGGAGAACTAGATATCAGGTTCGACATACTGATAATGAAATTAATGTTCTTGCCCAAATACATATTAATCCTAAAAATTCTACTAGGCGAATAGCTAAAGAATATGTAGTAGGAACCTCCACGGTTAAAAGAATTTTAAAGAAATATAAATACCACGGGTATAAATTTCAAAAAGTCCAGAAATTACACGCTGGAGACTCTGATAGAAGACTGATGTTTTGTCGTTGGTACAGTAGAAAACTGCGCAATGACCGTTCTTTCAACAAAAAGATATTATGGACGGATGAATGCTCCTTTACTAATAGTGGAATATTTAATTCCAGGAACAAGCATTTGTATGCTACTTCTAATCCCCATTTAATCAGAGAAGTTTGACCACAGTTCCCTTTTACCCAAAATGTGTGGTGTGGACTAATCAATAATCAAATTATTGGGCCGATTTTTTTGGATGTTAATTTAAATCAGTTCCGATACCTACATTTATTGGAGGAAGTACTCGATGAGATGTCCTTACAAACAAGACAAAATCTTCAGGAGGGTTGCAGAGTATCTCAATCAATATTTTAGAGGTAATTGGATTGGTACCAATGGACCAATAAGATGGCCTCCTCGATCTCAGTGTCTTAACCTCATGGATTATTTTGTATGGGGCTTCGTAAAGAACTAAATCTACGACAAAAATATGCCAAATAATCTACAAGGACTTCGTCAACGAATAGTAGATGCATTTGAAAAAATTACACCAGAAATGGTTGATAAAACTACATTCCAAATGTCTAGGAGAATTGCACTCTGTATCCAACAGAATGGACTACATTTTGAGCAACTATTGTGACTGTTTTTGTTTTTGAATTTTGTTTTTGTTATTAGCCTTATTATTTGTAGAATGTGTACAACTATAATTCGTTCTTCATTAGTCTTGTTTGTTGGTTGTACTTAATCATGTTGGATAAAAAATTGTAACCCATTTTGTAATTAAATAATTCTTGTATTATGTTTCAAATAATATTTAAAATTTCACATTTTAAGCATTTTTTGTTTTTTAATTATTATTTAATTAGCTATCTTGTTTTAATCAAGTAAGAAACGGTATCATCAGAAGCTACATAGCTGATGATATTTTCATAGACGAAACGTAGTAAAATGGTAAAGTGTAACATATCGTTGTATTTAGCTATACAAAAGCTATAAAAAATTACAGTTAAAAATCCAGGTCCGTATTTAAAAAAATAAGTTGAAAGTGGCCCTGCAAATACGAAACCGTCGTAATAAAAATTTTGACATGGCAGATTATAGGGAACTTGATTTATAACAAAAACTTCGTATAATTTTTTTTGTATCTTTTATAATAATAACGCACGACTTAAAAAACGAAAATGAGGTTTTTCGGATTTTATCGAATATCTCCGGAACCAGTCAGAAAATCTGTAACTTCTATGGACCATTGTATTATCCGTCAAAATACGAAACTTTTTCCCCATTTAACCGACAATGTATATCTTACGGTTTACGAGATCTCTGTATACGCAAATTAAATCCGGTCCACCCTGTATACATAGAGGGGCATACATAGTTAGTATTTGGACATCACAACACAGGACAAAAACTTTTTTCGCTTGGGGGCAGTCACCAAGCATAATACATCCAGAAAACAGCCAACGGTGGATAGTAGGAGCACCCAGGACTAAATATAAAGTATTAAGGTTATAATTCAATTTTAAATATATTTAAAATTTCGATTAGAATATTTAATCTATTATCATTGAGGTTAGCTAACATAAAACAAATGTCAAAGGGAGTAGAGAGCTTAGTTTTGCCAATTCAGGGCATAAATCAAAGTTTACCATCGAATTTATAGGACATTCAAAAATATTGTGGTTTAATGAACCAATTTGATCACACTCACAATATGGATCATCTTTTACTCCTATACGAAATAAGTGGTATGGAGATAGGCAATGTCCTGTCCTCATCCTAATTATTGTAGTTAAATGTCTTCTGTCTTTGTAGGGGATATTCACAAACCAAGGAATTTTATCAAATCGTGGAACAACTTTAAAATAAAAGGAATTCTTCCTACTCTTGGGGATATTCCATTTTTCAAGCTATCTTGATTCACAATGTTTCTGATGAATGGAAAGTAATTATGATAATTTAATTTGATATTCACTGGAATATTTAGAGATCTTCCTATATTTGCCAATTGATCAGCCTTGAAATTACCCAGAATGGCCAGGAATCCATGCCAGAATTATTTTGATATGTTCATCTTTTGCAAGTAAGATACCATCCTTTGTCAAGAAGGAATAATGTTCAGTTTCCCTGGAAAAGCATGATCTTGCTATTTTTTGAAGTGCAGCTTTGAAGTCTGAGAGGATAATGGATTGAATAATGTTTATGTCTAAAATTACTTGCAGGGCCTTATTGATAACTACAACTTCAGCTGTACAAATTTGGGTATGGAAAGAAAGCTTACTTGAGAATGCATACTCTATATCTGGACTATATACTACACAGAGTGACCGGAGGTGTCTATGGGGCCATCAGTAAAGAACCTAGTGAAAAAAAGCAGAATAATGAAAATGGGGGAAATATTTAAAAAATCCTAACTCAAAAACGAACAGTAATATCAACTTGAAATTTTTGGCAACAATCTTGCCCTATAAGAGGACAAAGTCTATTAATTAAAAAAAAAATGATTAAAATGAGGATCAAGGGAGGCTGAAATAAAAAAAAAATAGAAATCAAAAACCAAAAGCGATATCAACATGAAATGTTTACTAAAAATCAAGCTCTATAGGGGAATTAATAAATAAATATTAGGAGATAAAGAGGGTTGAAATATTAAAACGAAATCCTAACTCAGAAACAAAAACGATATCAAATTGAAATCTTCAGGAAAAATTAAGATTTATAAAGGGATTCTGAGAAAAATCTGATTGATAATTGGGGTTAAGGGGGACTGTTAAACTAGTTTCATTTTTTTATGACTGGTCAAATTTGAGTTCTACCTAGTTTTTAAACTGGGTACACTGGATATTATAAGCGAGCTTCAATTTGGCTTAGTAAGTGTAGATGGCGTTACTTTGTGGCTTCTTAGGCTCATGGCCAAATTAGGCAGCAATGTAAAGGTTTAAATTCAAATTCTTCTGGTTCGTCATTAACTTTTAACTCCATAAGAGTTTGTTAATTTAAAACTATTCAGTAACAGCACTTAATTACTAAGTGTGATGTCATCTTAAACTGTTACTTTTAATTTTAGCACTTTCTAGTGGCAGAAAAAATGTTGCATATTGTAAGTAAAGTGTGACCCTTCATTTGAAATCTAATTTTATTAGTAACACTTTCAGTATCTAATGTAAGCTAATCAAGTTTGTATTTCTTAACGTTGAACCTCTACAAAGTTTTGTTATTCACTTAAATTACTAATAAAATTAGTGATCAAATAAAATGTGGTACAAAACATAAAGTTGTTTATTCTGCTAAAGGATTTTAAAATCAAAAGCAACATAATGAAATGTCATACTTGGGTAATTTCCATATTTAAATTGCATTGATTAGAGCGGTGGATGGAAGTGGCATTACGTGTGATAGAAAGGTGCCCCCCTTGTCATAAAAGACACGCTTTTGCTTAAAAAAAAAAACTTCCTTTAGATATTTTGTTCAATCTTTTCGTTTTCGGTGCCTGGCCCTGTAAATGTTTAAAAATTTATATATACCTAAATAATTGGTTTGTAGTGTTATTTCAAAACCATCTTCTGTTAAACCCTGTGGATGATAAAATACTCCAGCATTGTTAACCAAAGCATATATTTCACTAAACTCTGCTTTAAGATCGCAAGTAAATTTTGCAATGCTGGAAATTTTGCAAAGATCTAGCTCCTTTACAAATATTTTCACGGATTTATTTTTGAAATGAGAAAGAATATATTTCTTAGCTTCTAAACCTTTTTCTACAGTTCTGCAGGCCAGAACAAGGGTAGCTCCTAAAAAAAATATTAAAAAAACACATTTATTTATCACATCTAAAAGTTCATATTTTTAAAATTATTTTAATTTTTTTTACGACCTCTTATGAAAATACTTGATGAGATAAATTTTAAAAAAGCTTTTTTTTGTCATGCCTGACATGAAAATCTGAGTTAAATGTTTTTATTATTTAGGGAGATCCCATCAGTAAATAAAAATATAGTAGTATGAGGATGTATATTGTGAAGTAAGAATGTACATGCATTTTACGTACGGGGTAGCGAAAAAATCTGGCACCAAGGTATTTTCTTTGAAACAAATGAATGTATAATTATTACAGTGTAGGGTGATGAATGGGACTGTATTACATTATTTTTTTTTTTTTTGTTTCCTCATCCTATACATACGAAGTAGCGAAAAAGTCTAGCAACAAGGTATTTTAGGATGATGAATACTATATTACACTAATACGGTACTTTTTTAGTATCATTGAAAAGAGAAAAAAATAAGTTTTTTTCTGATATATAACTTGACCTACGTTGGCACTCAAAAAATTCAAGACGTCACATAAATTTGATATGGTCTCTACAAAATATAGAATATTTATTTATTTATATCCAAACAGGCCAATGGATAAAAGTATCATAATATATAAATATTAATAATAAACAGTAGGTAATTACAACTAATATTACAACTTATTTAGTATTAAAATTAATTAAGAGTAATGTAATAATTAATCAAGAGTAATGTAATAATTAAATACAAGTTTTCGGAACATATTAAATGGTAGTGTCCAGTCTATATCAATACAAGTGTTAATATAATTTGCCAATCGGAGCATGGTCACAAGAGGTGACCTGGCAGTGGTAAGATCTAAAGGAATATTAAACATACATGGATGTCTCATTCTCCTCGGAGGTACATTAAATCGTATTAAGTATAGTAGCTCAGGTGAGTTAATTTCATAGTTAATAATTTTATATAAAAAAGTCAACATTATGATATTCCTTCTGATGTGAAGGGAAGGTATATTACATTCTTTTCTTAAGTTTGCAGTTCTAACAATATTGTAGTCTGGGTATATATGGAGTTTTTTGAAATAAAGATATCTAAGAAATTTATTTTGTATTTTTTAAATCTCATATAGATTAGTTGGATGTTCTCCCATCCATACCTCAGCTCCAAATTCAAGTTTTTGTCTAACTAGAGCATAATAAAGAATTTTTATAGATTCTATGTTAGTAAAACTTCTAGTTTGCCTAATTATGAACCCCAGCATTCTATTTGCAGCCTTAACTATATTTTTTACATGATTAGAAAAAGATAGAACACAATCGTAGGTTATACCTAGGTCTTTTACCTCTGTACGTCGTTCTATTAATTCTCCATTTATAAGGTAATCGAAAATAACAGGATTTTTCAATCTATTTATTGTCATACTGCTACATTTTTTTGTATTGAAATTTAATTTATTTTTATAACACCATTCATTTATGATGTCTAAATCTTTTTGTAAACTCACACAATCCCTAACAGTTTGTATCATCATTTGTGGAGATTTCAATATTGATTTTTTAAAAGATTCACGAGAAAAAGTTTTATTAGTTGATTTGATGGAGTGTTTTAACTTGCGTTGTTTAAATAGAGAACCAACTAGAATTTGTACTGACAAAAACGGTAAAACGTCGCGTACTAAAATTATTTTCTCACAAACTACCTTTCTACATATACGGAAACCGTGGTAGACCTCTGTATTGGAGATCACCTAGCAATTGACGTGTCATTAAATTATATAAAGGAAAAATGTTATGTAACTGATATCAATGAAAAAATACATTTTAGAGACTTATCAGAGGCGAATTTACTTAATCTGCAGCAAAAAATAAGTTCTGAAAATTTTGATTCTGTGTATGAATATTTTGATAACATAAATCTTGCCTATGAAACATTCTTAAATATTCTAAATTACTATATAGACGTAAAGTGTCCAGTTGTCACAAGAGCTGTAAAGACAAATAAAAAAACTGGATAACTCCAGATATTTTGAGGATGGGAGCTGATATAAGGAATTTATTTTGGTTAGTAAAAAATTCTTATGATGTGAATATACATATTAGATACAAAGAAGCAAAGAGACAATATGTCAATAATATAAATGGAGCAAAAAGATCTCATTTTCAAAAGGGATTGCACAATAAAACTTTTCGACAAAAACAAAAATATATATGGGTAAATCACCAAGATGGTAAAACATCAAAATGTTCTCAAATTAAACAAATTGAAGTAGGAGGACTGTCAATTATTGAACCAAAACAAATAGCTAAAGTTTTTGCAGAGCATTTTGCCACCTCCACAAAAAAAGCACTACAGTCTCATTTCAATGATTTGAATTTTAAAAATTTTACTGCGTCATGTGTCTCTCAGACCTTTTACTTCTCTCCTGTTGATCATCGTGATGTAATTGAAGTTATTCACTCATTAAAAAATGTTAACTCTATGGGCATTGACTGCATTTCCACAAAGATAATAAAACGTATTAGTCATCACATCTCTCAAATTTTAGCAGACTTAAATCAATCAGTCTATTCAACTAGGTATTTTCCCAGATTATCTGAAAGTAGGATAATATGTAACTCCTATCTTTAAAAAAGGTGATAATAATTTAATTGATAATTATAGACCTATTACAGTGCCTACAATCTTAAGCAAAATCTTTGAAAAGTGTGTCCACAAAAAAATGGTAATATTTCTTAAAAAATATGAAATAATATGCAAAAATCAAAATGGATTCCTTCCAGAAAAATCTACTAAAAGTGCAGCAATAGATCTTTTTAATTTCATACATACTTCTATCGATCAAAAGTTGTTTGTGGGTGCGCTTTTCTTTGATTTGTCAACGGCGTTTGATTCAATCAACTTAGATGTCGCTATTCAAAAATTGGAAGGGCTTGGTTTTAGAGGTAACTTTTTGTCTTGGTTGTCATCTTATATAAATAACAGACAGATCTATGTCAAAGTCGGAAATTGTAAATCTGAACTAGAAAGTGTTGATATGGGTGTGCCTCAGGGATCAATTTTAGGACCTCTAATTTTTCTATGCTACATAAATGATATGCCTAATCATATTAACTCAGAAAACATAATTTTATATGCAGATGACACAACAATTGCAACCAACGCACAATCAGTAGATGAATTAATTAGTAAATTAAATATGTTTTCTAATGAGTTTACATCATGGTGTTATAGAAATTCTTTAATTGTTAATTCAAACAAAACCGTTTGCCTTCAGTTCTACTCCAGAAATCAAATTACCCAGAATTGTAAAGTAAATGTCAATAATGCAGAAATTATGCTCTCAGATGTTACAAAATTTTTGGGCATACATATTGATATGGGTTGGGATAGCCAAATATCTAATATTTGTAAAAAATTAAACAGCGCATACTATGCAATACTAAAATTAAAATCAATATTTACCCAAGAGCAACTGCTTAATGTGTACTATGCTTTAGCATATTCTCATATATCATACAACATTTTTCTTTGGGGTGATGCAGTCAATGCATCTAAAGTATTTATCTTACAGAAAAGAATAATCCGGCTTATTTTTAATCTAGAATTAATGCAAACTTGTAAATATAACTTCAAAAAATTTAAAATATTAACATTTCCCTGTATTTACATTTATAAAACGTTGCTATATGCTAAACGCAACATACACCAATTTTTACAAAATTCAAATTATCATGAATACTCAACTAGGAATGCAAATTTATTCAGAACACCAAGACATTCAACAGCATTATTTGAGAAATCGCCTGAATTTGTTGGAATTAAATTTTTTAATCAACTCCCTGATTTCATTAAATCTGAAAAGAAATATGAACCTTTTAAAAGAAAACTTAAAAACTATTTAGTAGATTCATGTTTTTATAATTTATCTGAATACCACCATATTTTAAGGTAAATGTTTTTCTAATTTTATATTTTTAATGTGCATGTCTTAGGTATATATATATTTTTTTTGTATACTGTACCTATATTTATTTGCATTTTAATATTTTTTATTCATATATTTTATGACTTATCCTATATCATGTAACATGATCCTAAAGGACAAATAAACTATTATTATTATTATTATTTTTTTTTTTTAAATTTTAATATCATCGGCAAATAGAAGACAGTCTGTAAACTTCAGCATAGATGGTAAATCATTGATAAAAATTAAAAAAAAAGGAGGGGTCCCAAATTGGAGCCCTATGGCACTCCACTATATGCTATAAATGTTCCCGATGTATTCCCATTATGCTTAACAATTGAATATCTATTTTCTAGTTAGCTCTTAAATAGTGTAAGAGTACTATTTGTCAAACCAAATTTACTCAGTTTTAAAAGCAGGATATCATGATTTACCTTATCAAATGCTTTTTTAAAGTCTGTGAATATTACATCGAGTTGAATTTTGTTTTCAAGTGCTTCATAAGCTGTAGTTACAAAACTAAACAAATTTGTACGGACACATTTTTTTGAGTCAAAACCATGCTGCTGGGATGCCAGACTGCTTTCAACATGTTGATATAATCTTGCATACAGTATATGTTCATATAATTTAACAGGGGCTGATAAAAGTGATATAGGCCTAAAGTTCTCGATTTCAATTTTATTTCCAGATTTAAATATAGGAGAAACTAGTGCAGTTTTCCATAAGTGTGGAAATTCATTTGTTGCAATACTTAAGTTGAAGATATGAAGTAAAGGTCTTTTTAACCACTCATTACAGGCCTTTAGAACATATGGAGGCATGCCGCCTGATCCCGCTGCTTTTTTTGGTTTAAGTTTTTTAATTTTAATCATAATTATACATTCATTCGTTTCAAAGAAAATACCTTGTTGCCAGACTTTTTCGCTATTCTATATAAAACCCAGTTGCATTCCTTATGTAATTTTTATTGAAATTTTAGTGTTTCACAATCAGTAGTTAAAAAAAAACTTTCTCCCACATCAGTCACTTTAATTGTAGAGAATATGATGCTGTATTGTAAGATAAATTTATTTCTAAGTGATATTAGGATTTAGTACTTAAATTAATATATAAATAACATTCATAAAAGCAAAATGATAACACTAAATGGAATGTGAATATTTTCATCAATATTTTGGGAAAAATATACCTATTTTGTTTAAATTCCTGGAAAAAAACTTGTACAATTTTATTATGCAATTATACTGACTCTAGTAAAGTTCAGAATTAGTAAGATATAGAAAAATTAGAGATTTAAAAACTTTGGGAGCATATTCAGAAAGTAAACTATTTTATTAAAAAAAATTCCATATAATTGATAATACTTTTAGAAAATAGCTTAAATACTGTTATTCATGAAAATTTCTCAAAAAATAACACCTAATGCCGCTTTACATTATGCTATTTTGATGAGATGCAATACCCATGCAAGTCGTTGCATTTCATTGCACAATTGTTTTACATTTAGGTAACTTTGGTGCAACCAGTACTACCAGCTCCAGTCAGCAATACAAAAAATAATGGTGCCAACATCTGCCGTGCTAAGCACAAAGGTGCTAACTGGCTTTTTTGAGAAAAATAAGTTTTTGATAATAATACATTAACTTATCAATTTTTTAACAATATTAAGCTATTGCACAGCTTTTATCGGGGGCTTTGAGCGCGGCGACCGAATCAAGAAATTCCGTAACGAAAAAAAAAAACCTAACACCCCCCACTCCGACCGGCACAGCGGTGTGGCGTTGAAAGCCGTTCATCGTCTAACGTCGTTTCAGTTCGGCAGACTTCGGCACGGTGTTTGTGTGCGTGCGACTAGACGTATGCGTGTAGACTAGCTGCTAACTGCTCATAACTGATTCTATCTCTTGTAGACACAATTTCGGAAAAATTGAATTTGAAAATGAATAACGATCCACAAGAATCCACAACAAAATATGGGACCACCATTGACGCGGTATTTTCCAGATATTTAGAGGATATCAAGTCTCAAACTTATGTTTCTTATTTCAGTTACCATAAACCTATAGTTTCAATGATAAAAATTCCTGAATAACCTACATGTATTGTAAGATAATAAAAATATTTTAAACAATATTACCTTCTCATTTATTCAATAAAAGAAAAAAAAATTGTTTTCTTATCGGTCACCACGCTCAAAAAATGCAACTTGAATTAATATCAAAGAAAAAACTTGAATTAATATCAAAGAAAAAAAAATACTGCCTAAATAAAATAAATAATTATAATTGCATAAGTTGCAATAGCTTTACCGCGGCAGTTCCCGAGTGCCACCGTATTTTTTATTATTAAGTTATTAAGCATAAAAAGTCAATATTTGATTTAAAATAGATCTATAAAAATAGTCGTAACTTTCTTTTCTACCTCAAATACTAGGTTAAAGTGCTGTATCTGCAAAAAAACTAAGGTTTTTTTTTGTTTTTAAAAACAAATACGTCCATAACCCTTAGTATTTTTCAGGTCAAATTAATTAAAGACTGTAGGTATTTTAGAACCAAATAAGAAAAAGACTGCTAACGGAATTTCCAAAGATAAAAAGAAGCCTACAAAGGGTATCATATCAAAAACTAGGTTAAAATTTTGGGAAGATTTAGCGAAAAATGTTTGTGAAGATGATAACAATGAAGTAGAAGATTAAAGTACTGAGAACTGATATTACTAACAGATTTAATGTTATACAATTCAATTATCATCTGTAGCTTTTATTTTTTCCTTCCTTTTTTATATTCTATTATTAGTCATTACTTAAGGTGGATTTATAAACTACGTTCAGTTTGAGTTCAACATAAACAAACCATAATGACACGGTATGTTTTGGATAAGAAATTATAACGGATTTATAATTATTTTATAACCAACACCATCTACAAATGTAATTAAAACAAAAATAACAACAAAATATAATTTTATTTTGTGGAATTTGTGGTTATGTCTTGCCAACTCGAACTGAGCGCCAACTGAAGGAAGTTTATAAATCCACCTTTAAAATTGCTCAATAACAAAATTAATTATTATAATTAGTACCTCATTAAAGATTTCAATTTATAAAACAAAAATAAAAGTGAATGATCATTAATTACATATGGCAACATGCTGTAGTAATAAACAATTGAAAAAATAGATTAATAAGTGGTAAGTTAAAAAAATTATGATTTTTATATTAAATTTTTAATTATCTTGAATAAAAATTCAAAAAATCACAAAATTGAAGCATTATCTTTTAAAATGACTATATACAGTCACACCTGGAATTTTATGTCGATTTTCAGAGCCACATAGTTGACACATCAAAATATCTAAATTTATCAAATTCAAGTTTATTACAGTTACAACCTTTGTGCTTAGCATGGCAGACATATGGTCATTAGGTATTCTGATTAGTAATGTAGTGGGCGACTATTAAACATAGATGAAACTTGCAGGAAAAATAGTTTAAGATCTAATTTGACTTGCACACAACTTGCAACAGCTGACTGAAAATTTCCAAGGCGCCTGCACAGTCATGTAAAAATGTCTTGCATTGCATCAACATTGCATATAGTAAAGCAGCATTTTCTTATAACTCATTTGTTGCAACAAACTCACAACTCGCTTTAATGTTGAATTATTCACCAGCAATTAAGCATTGTTTAATATATTAACAATTTTAAAATTCTCATTGCAACAAATAGTGATAATGTTCAGGGAAGGAACAAGTTACTTAATAAAATAAAAGCACCTCTTTTAGCTAGTTCTAGGGCCAAAGCTTTACCAATGCCTGAATTTGCACCAGTTATAACTACAACTTGTCCGTCTAACCTTGTGGTACACCGACATACACCTCCAGCAAAGTATTTACTAAAAATAAATCACGGTAATGCCTCATTAAGATTTAAAAGGACGTACTTACACTAAACCGTAAGCCACTGTACCTACAACTACAGAACCTGCAATGTATTTCCACATCTTCAATTCGACTCGAAAGCAATAAATTAAATGAAAAGCTTTAGTATAGAGACAACGGCTTTAGTAATAGAAGTAATGTTAGTATTGTATCCTACCTATAGCCTACCTAACTAGATACACTTCATATAAAAATACAATAATTTTAATCTATTCTGAAAACAACTTTTATTTCATGACAATGAAAAAATACAAAAAAGAAACAATTCACAAACAAAAGCAGAAAAGGTGCGGTTATGCGGGTCTTACTTCTTACTTCTTCTTTTTCTTTACACTTTTTAGACCATCTGTTTAAATTGGGCTTGCAGCCATATACTATTAGATCCTTATTTCTCGTTATTTACCAAGTTTTTAGCATATAAACGTGTTTTATAGTTTATTTTAACAAAAATAAAATAAAAATGTTTTTTAATTGTTTTAAAATTCCTACCTGGCTACTGAAAATGAATTGCCAGTTTCTTTTATAAGACTATTTGCTGCGTTTGAGAATCCACATCGGATGCATTTTTTACATCTCGAGCGTTTTTTTATCCACATCTGACACATCTGTCCCATTACATTTACGTATACTGAATCACGTGATCAAAGATTTTTTACATCTCAGATGCATCCGATGTGGATTCTCAAGAAGAAAAAGAAGTTTGAATTGTCAAAAATTTTTAAAGTAACGTCAAAGTATACGTCATTAACGTCAGATTAACGTCAAATCTTCATTAAAAACAGTCAAAAAAGTTAGAGCAAAATAATACAAAATAAAAGGTTTCCTAAAATAGAAAACATAAAAATCCAATACCTTTAGTCATGTTTTCAAAACTTGGTTGTTTAATAATATAATCTTCAAATGCGTTCATCGGTAAGCTATATTTTGTCAAGTAGCACAAGTGAGCCAAACATGTCTCACCCGGACTATGACCAGTACTCTCATGATCATGCCGCTCTTCTAGTGCTTGTAAAACATATAGGAACACAACTAAAGCCTAAACTATTTTCTAAATTCTTCGACAGAATTAATAAACTAGTCAATGTAAGAATTACCGATTCTACTGGTGCAGTCAGAAACATTTTGATACGGTATGTAAAGGATCATCCAGTAGAAAACAATGATTGGGGAGATTTTCAAACACACAGACGTTTACTTGGATTGATATCACTGGGAAAATATGATTGTCAACAGGAATTAAATGAAATTTGTAGAGTACATGAGAGTTTTAAAGTTAAGTACAATACCACTCTTTTTGATTCAAGATGTATCTTATTTGGTCCAACAAAAAATTCAGAATCTCCGACAGATGAAAATCCTGTATCAAGTAGCTCTGGGGATAGTGAACATTCAGAAACTACAATAGAAAAGTTCACAACACCTAGTAATTTTAAAACTAGAGCTTTGTTTTATGAAATTACTTCTCCATGTTCGGACTTGGAAAGTCAGCTAAATGAATTTGTTAATTCACTTTTTTGGGTCTTGGATTCAAAAAGAGTTGAGAGATCTAGAGAAAAATTGGAAAGAGTATCCTTATTGTTAGCACCATTTGAGAAAAAAGATTTTGTTGGGCTAGATATGGAGTCAAGGAATAACAAAAAAAGATGTACAGGTAATTTTTATCAAAATACAAAAATAGTACATGACTAAGAGTTTGTACAATTTGTAAATATGTTAGAATTATTATACTTATGCTGTAATAACCAATGATTTGAAAAGTAAAACTGCTGTCACTTAATATATGACAATATATCAAATAAAAAACTGGAATAACACAAGTAGTAGACATATAAATAATATATGAGGTTAAAGAGCATCTAAACAGAAATAAAATAATTATACAATTATAGGTTGTTCCATTTAAAAAATTATCAGTAAGCCACTCAATTTTATTTAAGTAACAGTAATAAAAATTATGATAGTTTTTTAAATATAATAAAAATAAGTCATTTAATATATTATAGTGAATTTACGAAAATCCCCCGGTAACTTCTCTATTGAAGACTTTATGACAAGACTTATCATATGTCTTGTTTCTCAAAAAAAGTTTCTGTGGATGCAACCACCAATGCTCCATTAGTTTTGCCCTTATGGATTCAGTAATTTCCCATAAAAGTATTGAAAATTAATTTAAATGGCTAATAAACAATAATATTTTTTGTAATCAGAGTTGAACTTGGCCTATTTACAAAACCTTGTTAAATTATTTTTTTAAATGTATGTCCAGCAGTGAATATTAAAAATTACCATAATATTTGTAAATTGAGATTAATAACTTACATTATTTAAGTCTTTAAACCTATGTAATAATTTATAACTACCTAAAGTATACAAATATTTAAATAGAATAGTTTATAATGAAATACACATAATCTTCAATTTCAGGACGTATGACGAAACACTTAGGAGACCTCTGTTTACAAACTGGAATGTTAACAGAAAGTTTAAACTATTATGCTCAAGCGGCAGAGATCCTAAAATCAGTTAATGATTGGCTGTGGCTTGGGGCAGCCTATGAAGGTTTGTGTGCTTCATCAGCTTTGGTTCTTTACCCTGACATGCAAAGAAATGTTCCTCTACATAGAAATGCTAGTTTACAAGAAGGCTCTCCTAGAAAATCAAGTCAGACTCCACCAGCCATAGGTTTAGGAATTAAGAAAAGTATTTCTAATGCTTTAGTTCCTGAAGATATATCAAAAAAATATAGGGAGGCAATTATACATTACAGCAAGTATCAAAATGCTGGTATAATCGAAACTGAAGCTAGTTTTAAAGCAGCTAGGATTACTGTAGAACAAAATCATGCTTTGCAAGCTGCAAGCTTTTTACAAAATGTTGTTTATATAAATTTACAATTATCAGAACAGGAAAAGATTCAAAGATTTGAAACATTGGCCGAGTTATATTCCCAGATTGGTTTTTGTAGAAAAGCTGCTTTTTGCTTGAGATTAGCTGCAACAAGGTAAAGTACAAAATTACTATTCTATATATATTTATAATTAAAAAATGACTAGGTTGAATAAAAGAAGCTGTTTTCAGATATGTATCTCCTCAAAATCAGGCTCCAAATTGGGGTCGTTGCTATGCTCTCATGCTTCAAAGTTTACCTGGACATCATCTTAATCTGGATCCAGTCGAAATGAGAGCTGCAGATCAAGGATGGCCAGCATTACAAATTCAGCTCATGCAGGTAAAATTCATTTTGCTTACCCAATATTGATAATGAAGTATATTCTAAAATTAAATGTAGAGATAATGCATACAAACCTTTTAAATTAAGCAGTGAGTTAGTAAATGAGCGAAATTCTTTTAACCCCTAACATTAGTTAACACATTCTCCACATTAGCTAATCCCAAAAATAACCTATAAGTTAATAATGAAAGTTATTAAAATTAACATTTTCAAATAACTTTTAAAAAACAAGCATTTTCCATTTTGACTGATCCAACTATTCAAAAAAGTAATGTCTCCTACACTTCCTGACTAATGACAGGCCCAGATTTGTTTTTTAATTCTGTAACTTTCTTACTTGGCCACTGAGTTCACCAGACCTGAATCGTTGTCTTTTTTCTTCATATATTTGAGTTTTTTGATTTGAAGTATCAACTTAGAAATTACCCTGTATGAAAAAAGAGATAAGAGAACAAAATTGTTTCAATAGATAGGTGCAATCAACTTCATGATTATATTAAAAATAATTACTGAGCCTCCCCTATTATTTTAGGAATTAGTTGTTGCTGCAAGAAGAACAGGACATTCAGCATTAGCAACTAGACATATGACATTTCTTTTACAGACTATGTGGCCACATTTAAGGTAAATTATCATTTCAATTGTCCAATATAATGTTCCCACAAAAAGTAATGAAATCTCTTCACATTCTAAGAGATTATAAATCTTTTGAATAAAGATAATTAGTAAATTCTTAATGAAACTCATACTAAAATTTAGTTACTTATAGTTCCACAGAACAAAAGGAACTAGCGGTTCAATTGCAGAGTCTTTCTGCTCAATGTGAAGGATCCCCTGTTCCATTAGTTTTGGATAGTGGATTGGTAGTGCCGCCTGCAAATCTTACAGATATTCCAATCTGTGCTGCCTTCGTTCCAAAAGATTTGCAACCTCATTTGAGGCCCAGGCGAATAGAATGTGATAAGCTAGATACTGGGCCATTCCTTTTTACACCAATTCATTTTGGTGGTGGAAGTTTGGACAGAAGATCAAGAAAGAGCAGTTCAAAATTAGGTAATATTTGAAATAATCCTTTTATTCCAGAACTTTTTTTTTCATATTTTAATAAAAAAAAAAAATAGCAAAACTTAAGTTGGATGTTTCCATAGCAAATATATATAGTTTTTAATGTCTTAATTATTTTAATCCTAATTTTAATGTATTACAAAATGTTCTTGTGCTAAATTCTATTAATGGTTGACCAAGATATAAACTTAAATACTAGAGTCAGATTACAAGAAGAACCATTATTTCAATTTTTAAATATATATTATTTTAATAAATAAAAATTAATTGAGTCGTCGTTTGATTTAGAAAAATATTTTCTATATTCCCATAACATTAACAACACTAAACCCAGTAGGTCGCAAGAACCAACAATTGCCTTCGCTAGGTGATGACGTAGGTGTGTTTTTCTTATAGTAATTGGACCCTAAGTGAGTGTTTCAATTAAAAATACATCATAAATATACGATATAAAATATATTAATTGCATTACAGCGCATGCAATGAAGGGCCCAGGACAGGGTTTGCTTGTGAAAAATTAAAATAAAGCTACAAATTCGTATATTGGTCTAATTAATTTTTTTTATTTATTTATGTAGCCCTTACAGAATGTAAAATTCCAACAAAAACAATTGTAGGCGATCAATAAATGCATTTTGTCCGTAATTAGTTCTGTGTCTTTTTATATTCAAAAGTGCCGAGTCCGTCGAGCAGGAACCAATAGTTGAACTCTCTCAAGCAATGACCCGCACTGGATAGAACCACCTATTAATTTAGCCAGGAATAGGAGTAAAGCCTGTTTTCTTCTGAATTCCAGGCTCTGCATGCCGCAAACCATTAATCTTATTTGATAACATGTGTTATGGCTATGAAATCGGTGTTTAAAGAGCAGGTATTTTACGAATTTACGTTGCACCCTTTCAATTCTTTTGATATGACAGGTGTAAGTAGGTTGCCGAATAACAGAACAGTATTCCAGGACACTTCTCACCAGGCCATTGTAAAGTGTCATGATTGCTTTTGTGTCATTCACGTACCTAGTATGTCTCTTGATGAAGTCAAACATTCTGAGGGCTTCTCAGACTATGGAATCTATATGGTTGTTAAAAGATATTGTGGTATCAAAAGTAATGCTCAGATCACTAACTGTCAAAGATCTATCTAGGTTGACGCTGTCAATACTGTAACAGTTAAGAGTAGGATTGTAGGATCTTGTAAAATGCATGGTTGTGCACTTAGAAATATTTATAGAAAGAGCGTTATTTTTACACCAGGTAGCAAACCTGTTTAGGTCAGACTATGATGCGGAGTTATTACCAGGGTTTCTACTAAGAAACTTTAAATCATCCGCGAAAAGAAGGCATTGGCTATTAAGAAAGCTGGACGTAACATCATTAAAGAATAAGGAAAACAATAGGGGACCTATATGTGAATCTTGAGGAACACCAGATAGGACTGAAACGTCACATGATACGGGATTATGCACTATGACACGTTGACACCGATTACTCAAATAAGATTTAATCCAGTAAAAATAACTAGAGATACCGATTTCGGAGAGTTTTTTGAGTAGCAATCAGTGGCGGCTCGTGGGGGGTTCACAGTGACACTATAGGTATCAGTAGAGATGTATGAAAAAACGTTCAGTGTTTTAGAAAGTTTGTAATATACCTTTCTAAAACACTGACAGTTTTTTGCCTATATCTGTACATCTATATTCTGCTACTGTGAACCCCCAAAATTTTGGTCACGAGCCGCCCCTGGTAGGAATTCATGACCTACACTTTCAAAAGCTTTTGACAGATCGGTGTAGATGGTGTCAACCTGGTAACTATTTTCAGTTGATGAAATTAAGAAGAAAATTTGGCTAAGTGGGATTGACAAGGAGTCACAGCACCCCTTCAAGAACGACGCCGACGGTGGTACCCCATCAGGGCCCGCAATTTTACTAGGGTCAAGATTTTTTTATTTTAGAAGATACTTCACTTCAGGAATGAAAGTATATGGCTAAAGTGGAATAAAATGGCACAGCGGGAAGATCAATTTTTCGGTTTAAGTCGTCTTTAGAACCTAACCTAACCATTCTTTAATCTTAATAATGTCTTTGTTAATAGTTTTAAACAACTCTTCAATATTCTCACTCTCCCAGAGTATCGTTGTATCATCTGCAAATATGGTGAAGTAACCATTAATATTGACATTAATAATATCATTAACATAAATTAGGAATAAAACCGGTCCCAGAACGGATCCTTGGGGAATCCTACAGTAAATCATAAAAAGCATTGATGTTTGCTTATTGAAAGAAACTCTTTGTATTCTAGTCTCCAAATAAGACTGGAACCACTTTAGAGCTATTCCTCGGAATCCATATTTTTCTAGCTTGCTCAGCAATATTCTGTGATTTACACAGTCAAAAGCTTTGGAAAAATCACAGAACACTGCAGCAGCTACCTTTTTATCATTTAAATAGAGGTATAATTTTTCTAGAACAGAAAAAATAGCATTGGTGGTATTTTTACCAGATTGAAACCCAAACTGACATAGCACTCCGTGATTTTTAAGAAAAGCTAGCATTCGCATCTTAACCAATTTTTCAGTAATTTTTGCCAAAGTGGGTAATAAAGAAATGGGTCGATAGAAGGACAATTATGATCACCGCCCTTGTACACAGGTATAACATTGGCTAATTTTAAAGAATCACTGACAGAACCTGTCCAAAATGAATGATTGATTGATTCTACTAAAACATTTAAAGCATCTTCTGGAAGATATGAGAGAAGATTAACTAAAATTTCATCCCAACCTGAGAAATTCTTTTTTGTGGTAGAAGAGAGGATATTCTTACTTCTACAACATCAGTTGGTATAAAATAAAATGAATCGTTAATATTTACATTATTTAAATAAGACAAAGCATTAGTCAAAGGAATTATTTGGGTGGACAAACTTGGACCAACAGAACAATAAAAATCGTTGATTTCGGTAGGGCTTAAATTGGTGATCAACGGTTTAGACCTTTTGCCTCTTAAGTCATTTATTATTTTCCAGGTCTCTTTAGTTTATTGCCTGCCTCGTTTATTCTTTTTTTAAAGTATAATTGTTTAGCTGCTTTAATCGTTTTCCTGTAAATTGTAGGATATTTCAAGTAATAATTTAAGATAAAACCAGTGCCACCTGAATAGTTTTTTTATTAGGAACAAGGAGTGCATATTTTTTGCCGAAGTCTTAGTCCCTTTAGTTATCCAAGGCTTTTTGGGCATTATTAAATTTTTTTAATAGTGTAGTATGAAACTGCTGAAAAGAATCTGAGTATGACAAGATATTAAACTAATTTTCTTCAATACACAGTTGAGAAAATTTATTGTAATTAGATTTACTGAATATTCTTCCAGATTTAGATGAAGATTTCTGAATTGAAAGGACATCGTTGTAGCTTTATTCTAATTTTTCACAGGTAAATCTACTCTATTTCCTGGTCTATTATACAATTTTTATTTTTTTTTTAAGATTTCCTTTGGGTACAAAATGAAGTATGTGAGGTGCAACTTAAGTTAGTGAATCCATTGCCTTTTGAACTGAAGGTATCCAATATGAGACTTTTAACAGGTGGTGCAGTATTCGAATCAGTACCCGAAACAATAGTTCTACCTCCTGATATTGCTACTTCGTTAACTTTAAATGGATGGGCAAGAGAAAGTGGCGAACTTGAATTGTCAGGCTATAGTACTCATACATTAGGAGTTAAATCGAATTGTCGTTTACGACATATGCCTGTTTCTTCTAATTATCCGCCATATTATAAAGTGCAAGTTGTACCAGCTTTACCATTATTAGAAGTAAGTTAAATACTTTTTTCGAAATGTCTATAAAATCAAATTGGAAAATTCATAAATTAACTTTTTTCAGGTGTCAACTTCTTTTCCTCCAAGTGTTTCATTCTCAAATTTCCACGATGAAAACACAGTGACTTCTGCTAGTGTAAGTTTGTATCATGGAGAAAGCACAGAATGTATAATAACATTAAAAAATGCAAGTGAAGTTCCTGTGGAAATGTTAGAAATAGAAATAAATAGTATTTTAGAGCCATCGTTACAAGAACAAATATTCCGGTGTGATAATACCGAAATTAACAAATTTTTACCAATTCCGCCTGGAGAAAGTGTTAATGTGACTTTATATTTTCATTCAGTGGCAAACTTTTTAGCACCGAACGCATCTGTTTCACCTACCATTCCCCAAGATATGAGCAGTGGAATGTTTAGCAGTATGAATACTTCTATACCAGGTATGTAATAGTCAAAATTGCTCAAAAAAATAGGTTCATTATAAATGAATATTATCATTAAAAAAGTCGGTAACTAAGAAGTCATACATGTAGAAAGAAAATAAACACATAATAGGGGAGGATCTTCAAATATAAGATATTATAAAACACCTACTTTGTGAAGTTTAGAATAGTTTCATATATTGAATGGACATTTTTATGTTATAATTTAAACTTAATTGAGGCAAGGCTCTAATGTTAGAAAACATGACAGCAATGTTCATAACCATTTTTTAATCAATAAAATGTTGTGATGATCGGTTGCACATTCAGTACAGAAAAAATCTAATGTGTCCAACACATGACTTTCCTATCTATTTATTATAGGCTTTTTCCGGTTATTTTGTACAACCTATTATAGCACGCGCGCGCGCGCCCACACACACCCACACACACGCACACACACACGCACACACACACACACACGCACGCACACACACACACACCAGATGCCTCAATAAAATGTTGTGGTAAAAAAATACTTTTTCCTTTTATTTGTAATAATTTCACAAAATTGGCAATTAAACAAGGAACGTAATTGAATTTATTATTTTATATTTTGTTGCCCACATGATGATATTGGCTCATAGCTTTTCTTTCCGAAATTTTTGGTCCTAATTAAAATTAAAATAAATTGGAAAAGTCGTAAAAAATACCACGTAGAACATTCACGTTGAGGATAATTTCCTGTACTTCAATGTTTTTTTTTTTTTTCAATTTTGATCGTTACTCCACTAGAATTTGGAATTTATTCCGCAACATTGTGGTGCTAAAAATTAATAAAAATATAAAATTGACTGATCATTCCAAAGACGTTTTATATGTTTATGAAATATTTTATTAAGTTATTTTGTTTATTATTCGGAGTTACAAATTTGTCTACTTTTAATTATTTTAAAACACTTTCAGACTTTGAAGTGTTCAATTGCGTGTTTCCCAAAAACGGTTTAAATTATTAAGTTTAAACAAAAGTAGAACAGTTTTGTATCATATTCTCTAATCAAAATTACCTAGAAAAAAAGGTATATTTTATGTTTGACAAATATATAATATAACTGTTTATTGTACAGCTAATAAGATATCAAAATTACTAAAAAGTTTAATCGAAGAAAGGTATGTCTCAATTTCATTATCGGGAATCGCACACCCTGCAACAAAATATAAAATAATAAATAATATTCCTTCCGTAAAGTCATGCCTCTGTGTCAATTTTAATAATATGAATATTTTGTAAAATTATTAGCAAAAAACGAAAACAATATTATTTTAACTTAAACACCCAACCATACGGTTGGAACGGAAATGCAAAATCTGTATCCTATTTTTTTAAAAGTTTATTTTCCAGCTACCTGTTTAGATACCTTTGTTTTGTACCTTCTGTGCAACGTGCAACATTTCAGTGAATGATCGGAGATCGGTCCGCGTTGTCAAATTTTCGCCAAATTCTTTATTTCCAATTAAAGACCCTGTACAAACACGCTCTTTGTTAAATTTATCACTTTAATAATAATACTATACTATTTATAATAAACTAACATTGTTTTCAATTAAAAAAGTAAAATCAATAGATGTCTTGTGTTTAAAATAATATTTGAATTGGTTTATTTGCAAAGGTAGGTACTACTATGAAAATAAAGAACACCTAAGTATTTTGGAAAAAAATATGTGGCAACGCACTTTTTTCCTTCTTCTTTGACCTGTTTTTTTTTAAGCATAATTATAAATAAATCAATGTTTACAAACCTATGTATTTATATTATTTAAATAGGATAATTTACCAAAAAAAAAAAAAAAAACTTATTTTATGAACTTCTAACGTAACTTAATCTTACGTAAAGTTATTGTACTTTTCTTGCAGGCATTATAGAAAAATCGACAATTTTTTTAATCTTCAATAATTCTACCTATCTATTTCGATTGTGATAGAAATCAGGGTTTTTAATATAAACATTTTATATGTAGTAATTCAATCCTATATACTTACTTTTTTAAATGTAAGCCTCTTTTTGACTTTTTCTTACAAGGGGCATTTTTAATAATAAACACAAAACTCAATGAGAAATAGTATATATAAAACAATAAGTCGCTCAAGAACAACATTAGGCATAGATCAAAAACACGTAAAATGACTGGTGTAGATATGGCAATAGTGCATAACGAGGACGCTCTATTTCCATGCAGCATCTAGTGAGTATTAGCGAAAGTTTTTTTTTACAGTTTGAAATCCAGTAGAGAGGTTAATAGTTTTCTATATTCATAAAATATGAACGTATTGCTTGTAGAGCCATCTCGCGTTGGCGAAACGAAAAAAATGCGGGTCCATTTAAACCTTAAGTTTCTTGTTTTTAAGCTTATTAAAATGTTTGAGCTGTATATTGTACATATGCTGCCGTCCTAGCAAGAAAGGTTCCATCTGCAAAATTAGCAGTTTTTTTATCTCTTTGCATTTGTCTACATTTTATATTTCTTGATACCAAAACGAAATGTCCTATTTGCATCGTAAAGGTACTAAAACATTAAAGAGTTACACAAAAGAGGTTTAGAAGATAATAAATATATATCTTAAGATTTTTTCATAGTTTTTATTATGGCTTTTCAGGTGGATCTATTCCTTCGAGATTTAATTCGAGTTTTCGATCATCAAATTCCGGTCAATCGAGCATCGCAGGTGGACTTACTACACTGTTTCAACAGCAACCCTCCACTTCTGTCATTGAAGGTCAATTAAAATTAAAATATAGCGGCGCTGAAGGATTATCATCTGAATATTGCAGGACCTGTTCTGTATTCTTAATGTTGGAAATGTTACCTTCTCTGCAGGTCACTAATTGGGATGTTCTACCAGCCGAAATGTAAGTAAAAATGTTCCTTGAACAAATATGCAGGGTGTTATTGAAATACATGTACATATTAAAAGTGACAGGAATGTATAATGTTCAAAACGAACGGCACCAATTTTAGTAATGAATTGTAAATTTTACAATTGGGTTAATTACCCCTTTTTCCTATTATTATTTTACGGTTTGTTACAAAATCAAATCTGCAGTAAGAAAAAATCAAAAACGACGTATATTTAGTAAATTTTGAACGAAAAGAAAACTTTTTAAGACGGATAACACTACTGAGAATTTTCCCCAGCACCCCATCTGTATCTGTAATGTGTGGAGGGTGGGATACCCCACGGCACTTACGCCTTATTAGGCCCATTGTGCATCCTCCTGAGAAGATAGGCACCTCCTAGCTCGTGAGCCAGCCTACAGATTTAACGTCGCCAAGAGGTGCTTCTCTTATATCGGCCGGTGTTAGCCGATACTCGCCGAACACAAATCTTCTAATAAATGAGAGCGTCGAGCAATCGTAAAGGATATGCTCGATGGTCTCATCTTCTTGTTCGCACCCTCTGCAGAGTGCGGATTCTGGCTCTAGTCGGTGTTGTTTTCATGGCTCCTGTTATGTTGAGACATGCTGTTCTTTGAATTTGTTCTAGTTTACGGATAGCTGTTAATTTTTGGGTTTTCGGTACCCAGACAACTGTACCGTATGTTAGCATAGGTTTTATGATAGCCGTGTAAGTCCATGCGACGACTCTGGTGGAGAAACCCCAGGTGCACCCCACGGTTCGGCGGCATTGTTCATAAGCAATGTATGCTCTGTTAACTCTGTTTTCTAAATGCGAGTTCCATGTTAACTTGCTGTTAAAGGTGAGACCTAGGTACTTCACGTCTGTTGCAAAGTTTAATTTTGTGTTTAGGAGTTCTGGAAGTTTTAATTCCATTTTCAACCTTTTCCTTGTGAAAAGGACCATTTTTGTCTTATTAGGATTGATAGTGAATGGTTCTTGTACCACTGTTCTATAATTTTTAGAGCTACTTGCATTCTTTCGCAGAGTATGTTCTCAAAATTCCCTGTTTGCAAAATGACTGTCATTATTGAAGCAGCACCCCATAAACTAAAACCATATTATTCGTCAGTTCAATGTTATATTCTTATGAATGGCGTCCGCCGGATACCGCCATATTATTTGAGAAGATTTACTCCACTAACTCTTGAGACTGCATCAAAAGTACTTGGCAGCTTCAGATGGAGATGAAACATTCAAGGGGTCACGTTGATTTGAGACTATCTGAACTGAAGGTACAAACAACGGGCTTTGATCGTTATTTGAGCCAAAGAAAACATTTTCCAGAGGCTAAAAATAGAGGAAAAGTCAGGGGTGGACACTGTTTAATAACCACAATAGTATGCCAGTTGTTTCCATTTAATACTATATGTGTAATGGTCAATTCAAATAAAGTCCACTGCTCAATTAAGCATATCACAATCTTTACCATGTTAGCAATAGAGAGAGGAGATGTCACGTGACAGGTCTGTAGAACGATCAGTCCGGTTATTTGCTATCCACACCTTGTATGAATATATTCAATGTTAATAAAATTTATTAGTTTTAGTTTTTTACACAGTTCAATGTGAAACTGAGGGACATTTTATTTCATTAAAATAAACACATTCATTTGACAAAGACTCTAGTATGTAACATGTTTTCAGTCATTCTCAGTTCTACCTCGTACTAGACATAGCAAATTTGACAACACAAGAAATGGAACTTCAGTATACTCCGATGAAAACTATGCTCATAGAAGGAAACGAAAGTTGTAGAGTACCCATTCCAGTGGACAGATGTCCTCTATCAAAACTTACAGGTCTATATCAAGAATTAAATGAAGATAGCCTAGACTCTAGAAACGAGATAGACGTTAATAAAATATGTTCCGAACATATTACAGACCTTGTAGATTTAAGGTGGCATTTACTTGGAACTGATAACAGGGGCATTGCTTTGTTAAAAGGAATTAATTTGACACTAAGGATGTTAGATATTGTAAGGATGTCACCTCTAAATTGGGGTAAGTACATTTTCTATTTATGATTCAAAGCTAATTCATGGATTTACTGTAGATATTCCTATTTTTATTGATATATTTTGTATTCCAGAAGTAAAAATAAATGGAGACATCATTAAGGCACAGGAAGAAATAACATGTGAAGCTGGAGATTGTCTAAATTTAAAAATGTCCGTTATTAACAGCCTGCAAAAAACTTTACAGCAACTTACCCTTAATATTCAATTTTATCAAGATTATGAAAATGGTACGTTGAACTATAGAATGGATACACGACTAGCTACAACCGGTTGTACTAAGTAAGTCTTAGTATTTATAGTATCTAGTTTTTTGACTGGTATAATTTGAAAATATCCAAGAGGATTATTAACGTCTTGTATTTAATATTTTTCGAACTTGTCATTAGGGTTTTATACATTCAATCTTATTTTAAAATTTTCTACTTACACTTTATTAAAAATTGTAGAACCGTTTTCTATTGTGTGTGCTGCTTCTAAAGTATTTGAGCAAATAATCTACAACAAATTATATAATTTTGTGGCAAATAGCATTACTGAGGAGCAGCTCGGATTTGATGGCAATTTATTTGTATTTACAAATTATGCAAATGATACATTAGAAAAAAGACTTCATCTCGATAGTTTTTACTGACTTTAATAATATTTTTGATCGGGTAGATCATGGTATTTTATTCGAAAAGATCAGCCAATTTGGATTGATAAGTAATATGTTAATGCTTATTAGAGATTATTTGAAAGATAAATACTTTTTGGTAAAATATAATATGATAATGGTAATTCTTCTAGCAGATTCCGTACTGTTTCCATAGGGCCACAAGATTCCAATATAGGTCCATTATTGTTTCTGTTTCTTAGTTTTGCTGATGATTTTAAAATTTATAAACAAATTCAAACAGTACGCGATTGAGTTTCTTTGCAAAAAGATATAAATTCTATATATGGAGTCAAAAATGTAAATTGGAATTTAACGTCAGCAAATGTTATTATATTTATTTATTTACGGGAAAACCCCATTTTACAATAAAAATACAAAAATATATGTTATATGCACAAATACAAAATAAAAAACAACATCAAAAATTGTATCATGTAAAACATTTGATTAAAACATTTGATTAAAACATATGATTAAAACATATGATTAACAAGGCAGACAATAACAGTACTTTCAAGTGTCATTAAGAAAGTGGTTAGCAATACTTCTTTTAAATGAAGGATATGACGAACCAAAAAATCTATACTGTTAGCACTCCTAACTAATCGCGTTGATGGACTATAAAAGCCGTAATTTTGTCTATGGTGTCTAATTAAAAACGTTTCAATAGCTCTGGTTGCACTATTAATTTTAAGACCAATTTTTAATAAAATATCAGGAGAATATATTGACCCAGACAAAAGTTTGAATAGGAAGCATAGATCTAATTGAGTTCTCCGGTTCTGCAAAGTTGTGATCTCTAATCTAGAACATAAATTATCATAATCGTAATTATTTATACGCACTCCTAATTTATATGCTGAGCATCTCAGAAACTTATGTTGAACCGTTTCAAGTCTATTAATCTGAATGCAATAATAAGGGTTCCAGACAACAGCTGCATATTCCATATTAGAACGGACAATAGTGCAGTAAAGAATTTTAAAAGAATTTATTGAGAGACCATTAGAGATTCTTTGTATATAACCCAACAACTTTCTGGCTTTTAATGATATCATTGTAATGTGTTCTGAAAAAGTAAGTTTTTCATCAAACATTACGCCAAGCTCCTTTATTTGGGTCACCAATTCAAGATCTAATGAATTGATACAATAAGTATAGTCTATAATAGTATGGCACCTATTAAACTTAATATAAAAACATTTACTTAAATTCAAATTCATACAATTTACATTACACCACAATGCTAGGTTGTTAATATCAGTCTGTAAATGAAAACAATCAGATATACTTTCAACAATTTTAAAGATATTTAAATCATCTGCAAATAGTAGGAACTGAGACTTTTTATTCGCTCCGTGCGCGAATAGCGACAGCAGCGCCAATTCGTTTTGGTACTAATGGACTATTTATGCGTATACTGACAAATACAATTTTTAATAGAATTCGTAATTAAAAAGTATATATGTTAGTTTTAATAAAAGTATATGGATTTGTATAACAAGTAAAACATTAATTTATTATTATTATATATTTTTATCGCTTAAATTAAAGAAAATTATGTATAATCAATAAAAATCAATAATAAAATATAGACAGGCAACAGTATTTACTGGAAAATGTATGAGAAGTTGCCTAAGTTTAATAAGTTGTCTTTGAAGAAACCAACCTATTCTGTCAAAATAAAAAAATACCATTAATAATAGCGTGAAGTTAAAATGTATAAAAGAAGGATCGTTATTTATATTTTCATTTTTGTTCGAAAGAAAACAGAATGAATGATTAAAACTGGTTTTCCATCAGTAAGTCACAAAATTGCATTACAGCCACATATAATAATCAGACGCAAAAATCTTGAAATCTAGTCCTTGCTGAATGAACATTTAAGAATAAAGGGATATTAAAGAACATCGTAAAATGATAATTTATTGTTTATTTAAAACCTTTCAAGTTTCTGATGTCTACTATTTCCAGCATTACTGTTATTATTACAAAAATAAAGGTAATTTTTATACTTATTGTACACCTATCCATTTAATTCTTTGATTTAATTTTCACTTTGCTACTGAAATATTTTTTATATAAGTTTCATTGTTTTTTTTTTTTGCTAGTATTTGTACAATTTTTAACACAGCAACTCCGGTTGCTTATTGTTATGTTTTTACCTACTTTTTTGAAAAAAAGTAAAATGTATACGTGTATTTGATATGCCAAAATTACAAAATATCGCCCTAAAATGCACGAATTATCTGCAGCTAGCGCTAGTATCGCTTTTGCTTCCCTTTCCATGACTTCGCACGGACCGAATACAACATGCAATGTCATTTACAAATAGATTAAAAAGAAGCGGACCACAATGGGATCCTTGAGGAACACCAGACAATACCTATGAGTTTACTAAAAGTTTACCATTGATACCGTATGAGCTCAACTTGGCGATCAACAATTCATAGTTAACTCTATCGAATGCTTTTGAGAAGTCAGTATAGACAGAATGTACTTGATACCCCCCTTCAAAAGCACTCAATATTTCATTTTGATAACTTAACAAGGCAGTTACTGTAGATTTTCCTTGTGAAAAACCATGTTGTTGATCATAGACCAGAGCATACTGGCGCATTCATTTGAAAAATTGTTTTAATTCGTAATTTTTTTTTTAAATATCCGGAAGGCTTTCCTGATTATAAAAGTGTAAGATGACACTTGATATCTGTTGATGTTATTGTTTAAACAACGAAAAATTAAGCCAGAAAAAATGCATTTTTTGCAAAGGATTAATTTTTTTTATATTCGTTAGGATATTTTGAATAAAAAAAGTCCTTACGCCCATCATCGTATCTTCAACCCTTTAATTGTTATGAATTTTTTTAAATCCAAAATTGACGAATATTCTAATTTTCTTAAATTAAATAATATACCTTAAAATTTAAAATGCTATAATTTTAAATGTTTTACCGAATATTCAAACTATAATAAACAAAATTACCTAAATAAATTTTCAAAATTATTTTTGTTGTTATGTTTTTTTACGTTATAGCAATATGCTTCCTACGCGCGTGTACTTTTAGAGAGAAGTACTTCTATCTCACTTCCAACTCAATGTATACGATGGGTAAGAGAAAGCCCGATGACACGCTAAATCAATTTTTTGCTGTTTTTCAGCGGTAATAAGTTTAAAAAAATTATTATTAACATTTTTCATAACACTTTGTTATATTTGCCAATTAATAGTTTTGTATCATGTGATTTTTTTTTACTTTTTTAGATACTTTCGATAACTTTTTTATTCATTGAAGTTAATAGAAATGTTCCATCCACAAAAAAAAATCATTGCCAAGAGCTGACTAAAAAATAAATTTTTCTCACTTTTTTCCAATAAGATAAAAGAAGACAAACATACCTGCCGTAATTTAAAGGAAATTTCTACCTGTTACGATGAGCATAGTTGACACACCTGGTTTTTATTTAAAACAGAGTACGCAATATATATGTATTCAATTTATTCTATGGTTGTTAATTCTTTTCCACTATGATTTTTTAATAGTAATATTCATTTATTAAGAAAATTTTTACATAAAATTATAGTTTGTACATCTAACTAGTTTTTACATGAAATTGATTTTGGCAACATTCAATTAAACATCCGCATAATGCCACACACGTCATGTTTAGTTTTGACACGAATAAGCTTTCGTTGCACAATTTTTTTTACAGTTGCACGGTTTTGTTAAGTCTTCAGGTAATGGCGGTTTTGTTAAATACAGTGGCTTTATTTGGTTATCACAGAAAACATAATCAAAACCAGAGAAATCTAAAGTCTGAAACGAAGCTCATAAAGTATGCAATTTCAAAGCATCCGACATGCATTGAATTTTTTTTCCTTATTTTTGTTAAATGGAGAAAGGCTTGGATATTTTTGAAATCATAAAATTTTATAACCCCAGTAAGCCTACTATGTTCATTGCAACAGGTAGAAATTTTTCACGGATCACGACAAGTGCGTTTGGCCTTTTTATAGTATTGAAAAAAAAAAGTTTGAAGAATATTTTACTTCTCAGGCAGTATCTGACAATAATTTTTTCATGAATAAAAATAAATGTTAAAAATGAATGTTTTTGTTAACTTTAATAAATAAAAAAGTTATCAAAAGTATCTAAAAAAGTAAAAAAAAATCACATGATACAAAACTATTAATCGGCAAATATAACAAAGTGTTATGAAAAATTAATAATAATTTTTTTAAACTTATTAACTCTGAAAAACAGCAAAAAATTGATTCAGCGCGTCATCGGGCTTAGATTAGATTAGGAGTTGGACGTTATTTGTCCTTGTCCACCGCGACCTTTTCAGATCTATTGTGGGACTCCGTTTGTTTTAGAGTATGTCGTCTAGCCTGGTCTTTTTTATTAGACTTAGTAGCTTTGACAGTGGCTCCCGCATGTAGTTGCATGCAATTGGCTTTTCTTCGCCCAATGTTAGAAAACTCATTCCAGCCAAGCCTTCACATTGGCACAGGACGTGGAATGATGTTTCCTCTTCTTCTTCACAGAACCTGCACAAAGTTGCTTCTTCTGCTGGATTTATGACACTCATGTGCCTTTTGAGGCGACAGTGTCCAGTAAGAAGGCCTACTGTTATCCTAACGATTTGACGTTTTTGATCCAGTAGGTCTTTCGTAAACTTGGCCGATGGTTCCTTGATGAACTGTTTGGCCTGTCTCAGTCTTGGATAGTTGTTCCACCATTCCTGAGACTCTTTTTGCATCCATTGTTTAATGGATGCCTTGCACAATGCCTTAGCGACTCCACAAAAGGGTTCAGGGCCTGTCATTGCCTTATCTGAGCCTTCTCGGGCTAATTCGTCGGCCTTTTCGTTGCCCTGATATCCCTCATGGCCTGGAACCCAGGCTAAGGTCACCTTATTTTGACTACTTAGCTCTGTCAGGTCTTCTAGACAGTCTTTCACCAGTCGTGATTTGATTTCTGGTGAGAGAATTGCCTTTAGAGCTGCTTGGCTATCAGAGTATATGGCAATAGTTTTGCCTGATACTTGCTGATTTAATATTTCTCTTGCACAGTGTTGTATGGCTATTAGCTCAGCCTGGAACACTGTTGCATATTTTCCTAAGCTTAGTGAAATCGTCGATTTCGACTTAGGTCCATAGATTCCAGCACCGGCTCCTTCCTTGGTTTTTGAACCGTCTGTGTACCAGACGAGTTCAGCCTGTACGGGAGGTCCCTGTTTCCAGGATTCTCGGGCTGGTATTTGAATTTGAAAATTTCTTTCAAATTTGTATGTGGTTATGGCTCTATCAGTAGGCATAGCTAGAATATTATCCCTTTGTACTTGCTGATATAGCCTTGTGTGGTCGGCGCTATGTAGTTGGCTTATTGGGTTTTGTCCCTGCATTAGCCTGTGAATAGCTGACCTGGTTTCTCCTTGTATGAAGGTGTGCAATCGGGCTTTCTCTTACCCATCGTATACATTGAGTTGGAAGTGAGATAGAAGTACTTCTCTCTAAAAGTACACGCGCGTAGGAAGCATATTGTTATAACGTAAAAAAAACATAACAAACAAAATTTTGAAAATTTATTTAGGTTATTTTGTTTATTATAGTTTGAATATTCGGTAAAAAATTTAAAATTATAGCATTTTAAATTTTAAGGTATATTATTTTATTCAACAAAATTAGAATTTTCGTCAATTTCGGATTTTAAAACATTCATAACAATTAAAGGGTTAAAGATACGATGATGAGCGTAAGGACTTTTTTATTCGAAATATCCTAAGGAATATTAATTAATTCATTGCAAAAAATGCATTTTTTTCTAGCTTAATTAATTTTTCGTTGTTTAAACAATAACATCAACAGATATCGAGTGTCATCTTACACTTTTATAATCAGTAAAGCCTTCCGGACATTTAAAAAAAAATTACGAATTAAAACAATTTTGCAAACGAATGCGCCACTATGCCCTGCACTATCAATTATTAGCCCTTTACATTCCCATGACAAATATTCTGTAATGAGTGAATCGAAAATTTTTGGAATGTTAGATTGCAAACATATTCCTCTGTAATTTTTAATGTCACGATTACATCCCGATTTATAAATTGGTCTTATAAAACTGTATTTCCAAAAATCCGGAAATACTCCTGAATCAAGTGAAATATTGTAAATAATAGAAATAGGAGTACTAACAGTACAGACACACCTCTTTAAAAAGTAAGATGGAACTCCATCTGGACCACAAGAGAAACTGTCTTTTAATTGAGAAATTTTAGAAAAAACTTCACTCAAGGTCACTTTTACATTATTTACATTAATGGTTTTCTCATAGTTTAATACAGGTACATTACAATCAGTCTTGACATAAACTGTAGATAAATTATCAGCAAATAAATTTACAGTATCACAGCCATTATTACTAATTTTATTATTTAGTTTAGATACATTTCATTCAAATGATTTAGAGTCTGTCGATATATTGTTCTCAACCCTTGCAATATGACTATTATCTGACAAAAGCAACCGATTATATTTGACTATCAAATGAATAGGGTGTCATTAAAAATATTTTTTCAGATTAAGAATTTGGGGTAAATTATCATTTTCTACGCACATCAAGAATATTTTTAAGGCAGCAAATCTTCTCCTGGGATTTTTATTGAGACAAACACACCCACTTTCTAATATTAATTTGTTTATAATTTTATATCTTTCATTAAAACGTTCAAAATTAGATGAAATGAAGTTATTATAAACAAGAAGAAGTAAACACCGATTAATAATTAAAATTAGGTAAAATAATATTATAAATTTATTGAAAATGTACTAGTTCATAAATACTCTGAGGCAGTATTAGGTCTTTTGAACCTTAAACCGTTGCTTGAACCAATCAGTGTAGCCCTGTAAACTCATCTAAAAAAGTTAGTATGGCAACATGCCAAGCTTGTACCAATCTTATCATTTTGCAACTATGAACAAGCATCTTCGTTAAATTAATACAGTTATTTTAAATGTGTTACAATTTGAAATGTACTATCTTTATAGCGTTAATGTTAATTTTTTTTCTTTTTAGAAAATCGGTTTCTTCACTGGAACCCCAGGCTAAAGCCGACCACGAGTGCAACGTCATATTTTTTACTCCTGGTTATTACAAGATGGATATTCAGTGTTGTGCTCCAGAAAGCCTTACAGTAACAAGGGTTAATACTTTACTTTCAACAGGACATATTTGGAGGTTTACACCAACTGTCTCATTCCAAGTAAACTGATTCCATTCCATGAAGGCACTTATTGACTGAACAAATCTTTAGACTGCATAGCAATATAATAATTATTATGAAGGCATAGATGTGTTTTATATTTTATTTTACAATTAATATTGCTATTTGTTCATACACAATTATTGACAAAAATTATAAAATGTACTCATAAGAATTTAATGTCAATCCAAATCATGTATTATATTTTCCATTTTAAGTTAAAAAAAAATGTAACTTAAGACTATTCATAGAAGAAAAAACTGCTTTTTCTAGTCACAAGAGTTATTCATTTCAGTGCCAGTTATTTATGATTTCTTTCTGATCTCATAAAATTGACTGAGGTGTGGAGCATGAAAGAATGAGGGAAACAATTGTTCAGTGGCGTGCAATATATTTTTTTTTGTAGAATTAACTGAATTAATATTTTATTTTTCAAAATTTAAAAAAATATATTTATTTACATATCACCCAGAGTTATTACTGAGGCTCCTTACAATTTTTTAAGTGATGACTACCAGCAGAGCAGTACCATTAATTTTCTTCTTCGGTTGACTTTTGTTACAGATTATATATTTATTAAACAAAATCTTAAAGTTTTGTGTTTCAAGTCATCTATATTGGATATTATATATGTATAATAAAGTTATTTATATTTATTTCATAGTTTATATTCGATAAGATATCATCCAACGAAGAAAAACTACTAGACTAATATTAGTATTGTTACAAGGATTTTTTATGGTTATAATTCGGTATTGACTAAATATAAGGCTCTAAAGCGCACAAAAGGCTTTCAAAATTACATTAAGGAAGTATATTTGCATTTTTAATGCCAGTTATTATCAGTTTAATGTATTTTTCCCGTTGCATTTATCATATTTGTATAGTGTTTTTCAGGAAAGTACGCAATTAATTTTGAATAGTGACAGCAGTGTAAAGCAAGCATAGTAGACGAAAAAACATTAATAAAATGCATGCTCGCACCTCAAATATACGTACTCAACAAACCATCCCCACTTAAATTAGCAGTTAACTCCTTATTTCTAATACGGCAGCCGATGCGACAGCTCTGTCTGCGTAATAATAAACATTATCTGAATGATTGCAACAAAAAAGGACTTAATTATGAATGAATGTTTTAATCTAGTAGTTTTTCGTCATGTTAACCCATATTCAGTCAGGTATGGGTCTGCTTATAATTTCTACTTTATTTGTTGAATTTGTTCGCAAGTATAAGAATTTATAAAAACGACTGATTCGCAAAAAAATGCTTCTAAAGTAGGTAACTGTCAGACAATAAAACAGGTCCTTGTAGTTACGAACGATTTCCAAATTCATTTTGAAAATGCACAAACAGGAATTTTAAAGGACCAGATAGAAAAAGGAAATTAATAATGTCGCCGGTGCCGTTCTATAGCAAAAATGGACCACGCAACAATCAAGCCATTTTTGAGATAACCACATCCTGTTACGTGTGGACTATTCAGCTATATCGATATACACCACCACCACCACCTGAATGAACTCTTTATTGGAGTGCACCACCGTAGTCGATAATAATGAGGACGAAAAGGTTCAAAATTGCGATTGTCCTGAACAATTTTGTATTTGGCGCTTGACCCCTTTTTGCTCTACACCAGCGATTTGAAAAAATTGATAATTCAGTATCTGTTGTTTTATTAAATAAACATTTGTCGTATCATGATCATTGTGTATATTATTAATCACACCTTTCATCATAATATCTGCCATGCAAACACGATACCTTACAAATTGCAGTGAATAAGGCACTGAGGTGTGAATAAACGTTAACAGATTCCAGATCCTAATCCGTTTTTTTTTTATTGCGCAAAATTTGAATGTACCTAATGATGTTTGACTTTCGAAATACAAAAGATGAGTAGCTGGGTTTTAATAAAATTTGGTATTGTTATATAACATTGTGCATGAAAAATACTGGGTGTCTCGTTAATATTGTCCATTAGTTTAACAGCTTGTAATCTGAAACAGTTCAAATTAACAAGTTTTGTTTAGACTTAATCTTTACGTGGTTTAGCTTATGCCAATCCTTCACAAACCTGAAAATTTAACTTTGCAATCAGGGGCGCTTTCTCCATTGGTTCATTTGTGCAGTGAACTAGTTACATTGCTTATTTTAAAAACTTATTTTCTCCTAAAGGTATATTTTTCTCCACGTACAGGAGTAAATTGTGGGGTACTTTCGCCTTCTTTTTAACTAAAGAAGAAACTTTTCGTCCACTTTGCACTTTTCTACGTCCACATGCATGAACCTTTCTTCCTGAAACTGATGTTGGTTGAACCGATATCTTTTTTCCTTTTCGGCATATTTTTTTTGTCGAATTGATCTTTGTGTCTGTACGTGGTTTGAAAGCATTGCGTAACGCTGACATTAACGTTGACTCTGACTTAACGTATTTATTATACGAATTTATACAAACATCCACCGCCGGAATAAAATTATCAGGGTCATCTTCGATAGAGTTTCGAACAGATTCCCTACAATAATCTGTCACGCTCGAGTATTTTTACGGTATCTATTTGTTTTACAACTTTGATTATCTGCCCTACAAATACGCCCCTGTATTAAGGGCAGAAATTTGGCAGAGATAATCTTTAAGGGACAAATTAACCCCCCATACATTAATCTGACGCGGCGCTCGAATGACTTTAAATTTTCTTTGGCTCCCCTACTATAAATCTTGATCGCTATCCAACACACTGATGGGAAGAGTTGTAAATCAAATAACTAAGCGGTTACCTAAGTAAGTACGTACATAAGTGGTAATTTAAAAGCTTACCTCAACTTCTGATTGTAATGTTATTTTAAGTCTTACTGTGTCATTTTCTATAACGTAGGGAAAATCTGTCGGCAAACAAAAATTCTCCATCTTAGTGCACGATACAAAAACAAGTGACCTTGACAAATGCCATAATCTGAAGAGGTTTCTTCAGCTTTAAAAATAATTTCTGGGGGAGTACAATCGCTTTCTGACTCAGACATCATGAAAATGTGTTAAATTTAGGACGAACTGAAACTGACAGTTCTCAAAAGTGATAAAACTTCAAATAAACAAATGAAAACCAGGAAACTAGATGTAGATTGGTTTAATTTGCACTATTTTTATACATTTTTATTTTATCTTTAATTCATTAAAGTTTAGGTAAAAACGCATATAGAATTTAATGAGCATCTTTTTATTTCATTATTAATAATTATAAGCTGCCAAAATATTATACGAGGCGACTGATATATGAAAATATGTAACAACTTACTTTCGTCACTAGAGACGAAAGTAAACGTTATGGGATTTTTTCTCACTAGTGACGGAAATCAAGTTTTCGCTGAAAGTATCCTTTGGCGAAAGATGTCTTTTTGTAAGAGTTCGTAGAAAAAAATATTTTCAACACTCAAAATATTTTCAACACTCTGCCTTTGATTTTGCCCACTAAGGAGAAAGTCATCCTTATTAGGACTCTTCAGCAATAAATGGAACTTCTCGACTCCAGTCTCTAATGGAGTCTGATTAGGACACAAATTTCGATCGAACTCAATTACAGCGGGTCGAGCATGAGTAGATGCGAAAGTGGTATCGCCATCTATACTTAGTAAGCAAAATCAAATAACATCTAGTGGATATCCACGATGGTTTGCGTTCGCGCCTAGACTTTGATATATTTAGTGGATGTCCATGGGATATTGAATACACCTTAAAAAATTAATTTTAAATATCTGAACGGTACTATTAGCCACAATGGCGTAATTTTTTAATAATTTGCTATATAATTACTATTATTTATGGACATTTGCATGTCTATAAATTACATCTCATGGATATAAAATAGATATCCACCATGGACTGGACATTCAGTGGATATTGGGATGTTCAGTAGATATCCAAAGGATTTGGTGTGCTGTCTGGGTTTGTGAGTTGACAGTACCCTAATCGATGGTAGAATGCGTCTACCACATTTCTCCATGATTGTTTTATTTATTTAAGACCTTCCAAACTACATAAAATCATAAGTGTTACATATGGTTGAACTCGTATTGAATAGGAGATTTCAATAATGACTGAACATACAGGGTCATGAATTTGAAAAACCAAAGTGACTAATAATTTAAGAAAAACGTCAAATCTGGCAACATTGCAAATATAAAATATGGAATCACCGTACCCCAAATTTTGTACAATTAGGACTAGCAATTTACGAGATAATTGGCTGGTTCCAGACTTTTGGGCCACTCCCTATATTCAAAAATAATCTCAAAGAAAAAAAGTCAGCTGACTATAACTAATATTTATAGATGGTTTTCAACGTATTAAAAACAAAACAAATATTACAAGAACTAAAATATTCATTCATTAAAAGTTGTAGTGCTTGAAAACAGTATGATATTGATGATAATAAGTACACTTAATACAAACCTAAATAAACTGAACTTACAAATGATAAAATTATTGGGATAAATTGAACACCCAGTTTAAATTATCACTAACTGCCACTGGTCTCAATATTTCAGTTCCCGTTTCATTTCTGCCTGGCGGGGCCTTAGTTCCAATAAAGTAGGAACCACTAATTGAGCGCCCCTTGAATTTCAATTTCAAGATGTTTTTATAACAAAACATGGACAACTTACATATTTATTACCTTAGTTTTGTATAAATTCAGCAACAATTGCCTTAGGTCAATTAAAATTTTTATATTAAACTACAAATTTATGAAAAAAGAAACTTTACTTAGACTCAATGACAGATATCATTCTTGTCATTACTGAATACAGTTACGAAATATAAATATATATACAATGGAACCCCTACATTTCTTGGTTGTTTTCTTTCAGTCACTTAATTTGAAATTTTTTAATATGCCTACTAAATATTAAACTTTAGTTTCAAGGCGTTTTTTAATAGAGAGGGACCACATCAAGGTCATATAAAGTGATTGAAAAAAAAACATGTTGATTCTGTGTTACAATTGCAAAATTTTGAATATTGATATAATTGACATTAACTATTAAAACACATTTCATACGTAGGTGGCTTTTCTGGAATATTCATAATATCCAAATCATCACTCTGGAACCATTTAATTTCTTCTTCCGTTAAGTCTTCTAATTTTGAATATAAACTGAGATCAATATTTCTTCCAGTATTAGATAAAGCTGCTGTGTTCTGTGCATTACTAAATATATTATTATTATGAGACTGGGGTGTTTCATTATTGGAAACCATAACTGAATTAGAAGGTTGGCTAAATATGGAGGGCTGGGTCACTTGATTTTGTTGAGGCTGAAGGAACTGATTATTCTGGGGTTGAATCAATTGATTATTTTGGGGTTGAAGCAACTGATTATTTTGAACTGTACTAAATAAGCTACCAGTTTGCGTTATTGGTATGGGAGGTTTAACTGAGTTATTTGCTGGCCCAAATAAATTTGGTGTTTGAGAAACAGGTTGGAATATATTCTGCTGAATTTGAGGCGCAAATACATTTGCATTAGAAGGCTGTGAATTATTGCCAAAAATTGATCCAGAGTTTACTGATGTTGTATTTGCTTGTTGGGCATTATTATTAAAAATTGCATTAGAATTCACTGGCATCGCTGAAGGCTGACTACTAAAAACTGAATTATTTTGGATTCCCAAATTATTACTTCCTTGAGCAAATATATTGCTATTGTTAGATTGTATTTGTTGCATAGCAGAAACATTACCAAAATTAGTACCTTGTTGATTTCCAAATATATTTTGAGAAGTTTGATTATTTCCAGCAAAAACATTATTTGTTGGAGGACTAAATAAATTTTGTTGTTGCTGCTGTTGTTGTTGTTGTTGTTGTTGAGTATTTCCAAATATATTCTGATTTGCTTGACCAAATATAGAGGTGCTTTGTTGGCTGATACCTCCCGATTTAAAACTAAAATTTGAAGTACTCTGTGTTTGAGTGTTTCCTGTATAAACCCCTGCTTGGGGTGATGCAGGAGAATTATAAATATTAATAAGCATGCTTATTATATCTGGTGATGGATTTTGAAGAGATCTTACTTTTAATATAATTTCTTGAACCATATTTTGGATTTGTTGTTTCTAAAATACACAAATACCTATTTTACAAATACCTTTTTTCATCAGCAAAACCATTATACTTACAAACTGTTCGACAGAGCCTACTTTGGCTGCCTCATAATAACCATGTCTCAATTCTTCAAAGCTTTGGTCTTCAAAACCAGGAAATGCTGGTTTTTCTTTAAATGGTGCATAACAAGAAAATAGCCATTGCCCCCCCTTCTCTGCCTGGGTCATATCAGTTACGACTGATTTAATCAGCATGTTTGTATCCACCGATTGTTTTTCTTGTGGTACTAATTTTGGTTGTGGTATTGGTGTTGCACAAAAATTAGTACTTCTCAGGATGGATGTTCCAGTTGATTGGTAAGGATTGTAGTTTTCTAAAAAAATATGATTACATCCAATTTAAAGTTTGAGGTTTTATTTAATTGGCCTACTATGAAAGACCTAAATTTGTAACTATAGGTAATTAAACGAGGTCAACGTTACTTAAATGGGCAGAAAAAGAGTATAACAGGTTAATTAAGCAGTTAAAAGAAAAAATTAAACGTAAAACTCTTACCTTTAACGTCATGGTCGAATTTACACATACTTCCAAATTTGCAAGTACCTTGAAGAAAGAATTTACACACGACCATATTCAGTTTTTTAATAAAATTACTCTATCATAGAAAAATTTTGATTGTTCTTTTAATATAGGTAGAATAAATAAATAAATAAATTTGAAATTGTTTCATCTGTGCTGCAAACTAACCTATAAACACATAATATGACATTGACACATAAATAAATAAATGTTTATTTATCTACTTCCACTTTTTGGAACTAATGTTCTAATGAACTACTGATTAAATCATGAGAACTACTATAGTCTCATCTTTGTTACATTTCATGATGTAAAAAGAGAACAACTATTTTGCTGTTCTGTGTTGTTTTGTTTGTATGCACGGTATGTCAATATTTCTAGGTTATGTGTATGTTTATTTTTCGGTTTGTTATATTATGAGAGAAAAACATTCAGAAACTAATTTATGAAACAAATAAAATGCCAGTCGATATAAAAGAACTTACAGAAGGTTGGCTTGAGCTTGAAAGTGACCCTGGGCTATTTACTTTGCTTCTAGAAGACTTTGGTGTTAAAGGAGTTCAAGTTGAAGAAATATACGATCTTAATAAACCACTAGATAGCCCTGTTTATGGTTTTATTTTTTTATTTAGATGGGTTGAAGAAAGAAGATCACGCAGGAAGGTAGTAGAACAAAATGAAACATTTGTTAAAGATGAAGATATTGTCAATAACATATTTTTTGCTCAACAAATGGTACCCAATAGTTGTGCAACTCATGCACTTATATCAATATTATTAAATTGTCCTACAATACATCTAGGAGAAACATTGGCAAGATTAAAAGCTCATACACAAGGTATGAGCCCTGATAATAAGGGTTGGGCTATAGGTAATACACCAGAATTGGCATGTGCTCATAATTCCCATGCTATGCCACAAGCTAAAAGAAGATTGGAGAAAGGAAGTGGAGTATCTACTGGACGTTTTACAGGTAATTTAAATTAACAAATTAATAAGTATTTTTATATTACTTGTTTTAAACTTTTAGGAGAAGCATTTCACTTTGTTAGTTTTGTGCCCATTGGTGGTAGACTTTTTGAATTAGATGGACTGAAACCATTTCCAATAGATCATGGTCCCTGCAATGATATGGAATGGACAGATAAGTTTCGTTGTGTGATTACTGATAGACTTGGAATTACAGCTGATGAGTATAATGAAATAAGGTTTAATTTAATGGCAGTAGTACCTGATAGAAGACTGGCAATCCAACATAAACTAAAAATGTTAAGAACAAATAAACAAATTGTTCTAGATGCTTTGCAACATTTAGTTAAAATTAAAGATAAAGGAGGTGGAGTACTGAAACCTGAGAGTCACAATGATGCTGGGAAGGGTAGTTCTGTCAATAATATTGAGGAGGTAATAAATATTTCCTTTTATTTTAATTCAACAGGGTTATTTATTTATTTATTTATTTATTTATTTATGGTACAATATCCATGGGCCAAGCCCATTAATAGGATAAGGTTGGCAATACAAAAAATTTAGCTAATATATGTATAAAAAAACACAAAATTGATGTAGGTAATAAAAATGGCAATCAGTTGCACCTAAACACTCACTGAAAAAAAAACCATGCAAGGAAAAAAAGTGGATGTTTAGGAATGACTACCATTAAAGACAAATACATAACTAATGAAAAAAGCAAAATAAAAACAAAAAACACAATTGGTAAAATACTATCGCTAATAATTAATTATGGACACATTAACTAGAAAAAAGTTTTTAAGTTGTCTAACGCTGGTAAAAAAAATATCAAGCTGTGATTCAAATGACAAATAATTATCAATAAGGAACTTAAAATTGCATCAACCATTTAAGATATTATTGTTTACCATTGCACAACTCCTAGTGAAATCATCACTATAATCAAAAAAACTTCTTCTAAAGCCACTGAAGGTATTGATGAAATAAATGGTAAAATTCTGTTATCGGATGCTCATTGTATTGCTGAACCCATATCACATTTAATTAATGAATCCTTTGTTTCGGGATTATTCCCAAATATGAAGGAATCTAAAGGAATTTCTGTTTATAAAAATAAGGGATCTGCATCTAATATAGAAAATTATCATTTAATCTGTATATCTAGTCAAATAACTAAAATATTTGAGTCAGCATATTCTATTAGACTCACTAATTACCTTGAAAGTTTTAATATATTGCCAGATACTCAAAATGGATTTAGAAAAAATAAGTCAACATCTACTGCAATTGCAGCTTGCCTAGAGTTTATATATCAAGCACTCAATGATAAAAAACATATTTTGGGACTCTTCTATGACCTTAGCCGTGCATTTGATAAGGTTGATCATAATCTTTTTTTATTGAAGATGAATGGGTTAGGAATATGAGGGAAACCTTATGAATGGATACTTAATAAATCGAACTCAAGTAATTGTAACAAATAGTCTAAAATCTGATCCTCTTCCATGTTCAATAGGAGTTCCCCAAGGTTCAATTTTGGGCGCACTTCTTTTTAAAGTTTTTGATATAAGTAATTTTTGTTTAAGCTCTCAACAAATAGTTCAATATGCCGGTGATACCAATATTGTAATGTATTGTAACTTCAAAATTAAGTACTTGTTATATCATCAAAAATTTAAGGGAGACACTATCTTTTGATACTTTAAAACTGTGCTATTTTGGTTTGGTTCATTTAACTCTACAATATGGGTTAATATTTTGGGTTCTTCACCATACTTTGAAAGAGCTTTTGTATCTCAAAAGAAGGTTCTGAGAGCCATGTATAAGGTGACACCAACAACATGTAAAGAACTTTTCAAGAAAACGCAAATTTTAACACTACCTTCCCTTTTTATTTTTCAACTAATTTTATACATAAAAGATAATGAGCATATATTTAAGAAAAATAAAGACCTGCACTCATATGATACTAGATTAAAATTTAACATCCATCAACCTTTTTCACGACTACAAATAAGCCAGCATTCACCAAAATATATTGGGATTAAGTGTTACAATAAGTTCAGTCACATATTAGAAGATACTACAGGTTATCATCAAATTAGTCGTAATGATTTAAGAAAACATCTTAATGATTTTCTTGTAAATAATGTATTTTATAGTATAGAAGATTTTTTGAACTTTTAAACTAATCTTAACATGAATTGTCTATTATATACATTTTTATTTTATTTTTTTATTGTATTTTACTTAACACTTTTTTGACTAGTCTGATAGGATTTTACATTATGTACTTAGTGTCTTTGTATAGTGTATAATTCTCAAAGATGAATAATTTCTATTTCATTAATAAATGTAATTTATATAATTGAAAATGGTTTATTATACAAGGCAGTTTGACGGAAGAGTGATTTTTCAATAAAAGAGTTACTATACTGTAAAAAAATATTTTATTTTTCAACAATCTCCTTTTAACTCTACACACTTAGCCCTTCAAGTTTTCAATTTTTTCAAACCATCCAAAAAATAATCTTTCGGAAGTTCCGCAAAATACACGTTTGTCTCTGCCATCACCTCTTCATTTGTCTGAAATTGCTTTCCACCAAGTTTGGGAGCAGAAAGTAATTGGAAGGAGCCAGATCAGGTGAATATGGCGGATGAGGCAATAAATCGTAACACAGTTCGACTAATTTTTCTGCAACAATAGTGGACGAATGGGAACAAAAATCTTTTCTTTATATGAGTATTAAAACTAATCTGTCAGATTTATGCAAAAATTTTGACAGATGCCATCAGAAACTACCAATATAATCACTGTAGCGAAAGTGTTGCTAACCTCTGAAAAGTCACTCTTTCCTCAAACCGCCCTTGTATATTATTACATGTTTAGCAATTTTAGTTATGATTAATTTGTATGTAAAGTAAAAAATAATTCTACATTTCTCATTTAATGTTAATTCTAAAGTCACGTAAACCTAAGAGCATTGGCAACTTTGCTTATAGAATCAATTTTTGCATGCCGAAACTGTTGGAGTCAAACGAGTTTCTACAAGGAACCTTTAAATTGTTATGATCATTTATCTCTCTGTTTTTTATGTTCTTTGTCAACTTTCGCATCTGGTGTGGGTAATCTGAGTCTTAACTAGGCTACTTAACACTTACCAAATATTGTATAACAGGCATTTTACCATATAACCAACCCAGTTAAACCTTATCCTTTTTATGACCTGCCGGAACTGTTTATTTTTAATGGACTATTCCACTTTTTGTAATTATCAATGCCAAAGTAACGAATGTGCCTTGAGAGTTTAAGCCCCCTCTATGGTTGATGTCTATTTTTAGAAAGTGAGAATGGAGCAGTTGCTTGAATAAATAAGTATGAGTGTACCACATTCTCAAAACTTAAAAATTTGCACATTTGTGGTTTTGGCATTGTACTGATGATACTACTAAGTAAGTCTAAAGAGCTGTAAACATGAGGAATCAGCTTATTAACATGTTTTTTCGATTTTAGATCCCAGTCAATAAGGACTCCTACGTTTTCAGCTTTATTAACTAGATCTTAATCTTTATTATTCATCGAAAGTTGTATTTAAGTATGACTTGAGTTAGTCATCATTTTCTCCAAATACCTAACTCAGCTGCATTATCGAACTAATTTATCCTTACATTGCGACGATTCACGATTAATTAAATCAAAATTATTGTACAATTAGGTCAACGCCTAAAACTGCACATACAAAAAAAAACAATAATGTAATTAACAAAATAATAAAAAATCATTTTTAAACAGGTAGAGACCAATAAAGACGAAACGTCAGATGAGTCAAAATTAATCAAACCTGAAGTACCACCATCTGCAAGTAAAGTAACTCTGTGCCCATTAGATTATGCAACACCTTTAACAATTCAGACTTCTCCTGCTCCTAGTACTTCTGGAACCGATACACCTTCAGATTTGGGTTCAGCTTTTAATTCACCAACACAGTCTTGGAACTGGGCAAATTCTTCAGCTGGACAAAATAGTCCTACCTCTAAAGATTTGAAAAGGTTTGTGGTACTTAGGATGGCCGAACAAGAGGACAAAGAGAGAGCTGGTAAGAGATGGATATATTTTTTGTTATATCTGTATTCCGGTCACTTTGTATATATTTAACTAAATAGAATTGTTATGCTTTTAGCAACTTGTTTAAATTCCGAAAACCTAGAACGAAAATCTAGTGGAGGCCATGCTAGAGTACACACTAGTGATGGAGATCCCGTTATAGCTGAAAAGAAAAATCAAGAGTTACTGGAACCCCATACATTTGCCCCGAAGGACTTATTAGCTTTACTGAGAAATTTAGAAAACGAAATTTGTGTGTGTGAAGTTAGTCTCAAAGATGAAAATGACAAGCAGAATAAATATAAGGTAAAAACATCTCTCAAAAAATTACCCCATAAATATAACAATAATATAATAACTTCTAAACTAAAATACTTTTGAATTTGGAAGTGTGAAAATGTAAACGTCACATCCGTCTACGAAATTGAGGAATTCATCCCTGCATCACCAAATCAAAAAAAAATTGAAAAAGTAGAGGAATAAAGAAAAAAATTAGTGTCTCGGTCAGAGATCTAACCTGATTCTCCGAGTATAGCCCTCATTATTTACTTTTACGGCATTTCCTACATAAAGGATTTTAAAATTTATGCTCAGGGGATTTACAAATTCGACTGCCATAGCTATATGTTGCTTTCGGAAATCCAGGTTCAATCCCTGTCTGGGGCCCAATTTTTTCTCAACTTTTTCAGTTTTTAATTGGTTTGCTTTCACTTTGAGGATGTGCGGATGAATTCTTTACTTTTGTAGAAGAAATTTTCATTTTCACATTTACAAAAAACACATTCTTTAGTTTTCGAATCTTTAGCCAAATTCTAACCTTTCATTCTTTAAAATATGTGTATTTTTTATCTAAAGATAATCAATGTCGTTCTAGGCTACATAGTCAAATTCAAATTCTTTTATTTGTACTAGGGACAATATATAAAGTGTATTGTGTTGTACACGTCAATATCCATAACTAAATATTACATAAAGATAAAGCTAAAAATTAAAATAGATTATGCAAAAATACCAACTGCAAGATGTAGTATTGTTATTAATAATTAATTATTAATGTGCGAGCTAGGTCGACTTACCGAGTAAGAATGGCGTATTTACCAAGATAAAGGAAAACCTAGCTAAACCCATAGTGCCATAATTTGCAATTGGTAATTACATCAATCATACTGTTTACCACCACAGAAAATTAATACTGATAGGTAGAAAAAGAAGAAAAAAACTAAACAGCTAAAAAGGATCCTTATTTCTAATCCTAACTTATTACATGAATTTGAAATATTTAAGATTGTAACATCATCTAGTGAGTAGGGCTCAATATCAATTAAGATATTTTTAATGGTTGACTTAAATCGCCTACATTTTTAATATTTTTTATATAGCGTGGAAACATATAAAATTGTGTGCATTTAAAATAGCATCCTTTTTCAAATAGTGTGGTTTTATGCGTTGGTACTACAAAACTATCTACTCAAAGTTGGGTCGGATACAGGAAAAAAGTATCCGAGTACCGGATACGGATACTTTTAAAGTGAGTTAAAATAATGTTTTCATTCCAATAGTTATAATTATGCAATAAGATTAATTACGAGTAACAATAAACAATACTAAACATAAATAAATTATCAAAAATGGAAAGCGATATAATAGAAAGAGGAAAAAAACTACTCAATAAATTGTTTATTTTTATTCTGTGAATATAAAACATTAAAACAAAATGAACAATAAAACATAAAGGTGCGTGTAAATTGTAACGTGATATCTAGTTATTTTATTTACTTGTTATCACATGTGATCTATTTAAATGAAATGAAAATGAAAACTTTTGACATAAGGCATAAACGACAAATGACATTTGAGTAAGAGGTGATTGTGTCGAAATAACGGTCCCAACCGTTACAAAATAAAACGAGTCGCGCCTGAATCTCGCCAAAAACTAGCCAGTGTTGTGTCCATATAAATCTAACGAAATAAGCTCGTTGTTGGTGCGACTTGCCATGTTTACACAACCTTTCGATATTTTCGTCAGTTTCAGATGTATAGCACAAGTAGAAGTTGGAAAGGCCTTTGGTAGGTAGAGAAGGGGTAAACGTCATACCACGACGGACGGCTTCGAGAATTTCGCAGTAATGTTTACCTGCCAATGTCGTTTCATATAATTAGTAATTTTAAATTGTTACCGGACGATCGCATGTATTTATGGACTATAAATAATTATTAAACATGTATCTCTCTGTATCTGTAACGTGTGGAAGGTGGGTTACCTCCACGGTACTTAGGACTCATTAGGCCCATTGTATTAAACATGTATTATAATATTCAAATCATAATTTTACAAAATTTCAACAGATATCCACAATTTATTAAACTATTTACTTGAAATTGTTATTAACATCTACAAAATAATTTTGTACGCCAATGTATCGCGTCCACTTCGGTTAGATCCGCCACAAACCTGTCAATTTATGTGTATAAAGTGGGAAAATTGGCAAAAGCCTTTCCAACTTCTACTTGTGCTATATTCGACAATCCATTTTTTTGTGGATCCTCCGACGAGCGGTACGCAGATATTTTTTTCTTAACCATCCTCCCGAGTCCTATCGCTTGCCGAGTCCCTTACGTGTTGCGTTTGCGCGTTTGAAATTATTATATACTTGGGAAGCAACTTTTATGATGATTTTGTTTCAAACAGAATTAAAAAAATTTATTTTAAAATTTTTGTGTTTATGTAAAATTGACTTTGAAATCTCCAATCTTAAGGTGTTCAGTAGTTATTTTACTTTTTTTAGTATTGTTAACAAATTCCATTCTTTCACTGCTTTTGAAGATTGTTTTACCAACATTCAATTGAAAATTTTCTTTTTTCTACAAATTAAGATTTTTTAAATTGCTAGTAAATGAATGAATTAAGAACTATATTTTGGCTCCGGTACGCTTTAGGTACTTACGTTGAAATTTGGAAAAAAACATTGGTTACTCTAAAAAGTATTACATATTGTAGATACATTTCTAAAAAAAATACAGATAAGAAATTTTCTGTTAAAGTTACAATTTTATAGACATTTCGCCTTAGGTAGGTATATCTACAATTTTTGATCCACAAAAGAATGTGTGCAGCTACATATTTTATTTTGTAAAAAATTGAAATTATTTTATAAATACATAATATTTTGATTCATTTATAAAAATTTTGTTTGCCATATTTTTTAAGTAATTCAAGAAAATTTCATTATTGTAAATATTTACATATTTTATCCAGTTAGATACTGAAACTCTTTGCAAAACTGTATGAAAATTATAAAATGTTAGGTTAGGAAGATCAAAATCTTGCAACTTTTCTTAGAAAATATTCGGTTATCAGCATTTTTTTTTAGAAATGTCTACAGAATGGGTACTTTTTAATGTTCAATTTTTTTCCAAATTCCAAAAGTATCCGAATGCCGAAAAAAAGTATCCAGTATCCGGATACTTACAAATTTGGTCACGGATACGGATACCGGATACAAAATTTGAAAAGTATCCGGATACAGCTTTCGGATACACATAAAGTATCCGGATACAGAAGTATCCGGATACAGAAGTATCCGGATACTACCCAACTCTGCTATCTACTGTGTATGACCAAAAATATGTTCTCTGAAGTAAACCTGATTTTCAATTACAAAATGTACACAAAAATATACATATGCCCCAACCACCGTCATCAGATTTGATTGTCGAAAAAACCCTCGACAGGAATCTCTTAAGTTCAACCCAGTTAATATTCTCAATACTCCTTTTTGTATACCTCGTAATTGTGAGAACCACCCTAGAAGATGATTCCGTAACACATAATGGAATAAAAGTGTCCGAAATAGGCAATGTTTTGGTTTACAACTTTAGCTAATTCTTTCAGAGCAAAGCAACTCTTACTAAGCCTACCACAGAGATTGTCCACATGACAAGACCATCCCAAATTCTCATCTACTATCAGACCAAGAAATTTTGCAGAGCTCACATAATTAATTTCTGTGTTGTTTAGATTTATAGCATTTTCATAATCGTTCTTATTTCTGCTGTGTTTAAACAGGATACAATTTGTTTTGGACATATTTAATACTAAGAAATTTTTTAGAAACCACTCTGCCGTTATTGATGATATGTGCATGGTATCTTGTTTCAGACTTTCATAATCGGTACTGGCTATTAAAATGTTAGTATCATCTGCATAATTTGTTAGTGTTACAGAAGACAAGTCTATCACATTTGATAGGTCATTAATATAGAGGAGGAATAGCAAAGGACCTAAGACTTCCTTGTGGTACACCCATATCTATCAATTCTTGTTCTGAGAAAAAGAGTCCACTATTTGTTTTCAGACAGACTTTTTGAGACCTTGCATTCAGATATGATTTAAACCAATCATATGCAATTCCAATTACGCAGATAACGTATAATTTTTTTAATAGTAATTGGTGGTTTACACAATCAAAGGCTTTTGACAAGTCTAGAAATACACCATGCACAATATAGCCATTATCTAGGTGATGTAGAATGCGTTCTACAAAGGAAAAAATTGCTGTAGTTGTAGATTTTCCTCTTTGGAATCCATGTTAAGTAGAGGTAACAATTCCATTCGTAGCAAGAAACTTAGTAAGGCGTTTACTGATTGCAATTTCAAAAATTTTTGAGGAGCTAGTTAGCAAACTTATAGGTCTATAGTTTCCATAAGGAATGGATCTCCTTTTTTTAGAATAGGTCTCACCGCTGCAGATTTTAGTTTCGATGGGAAATCACCTTTCTGAAAGGAATTATTTATTATGTAACATAAAGGCTCAAGAATATATGAAGCAACATTTTTAATAAGCACATTATGAATATCATCTTCACCTGCAGACAGCTTGTTTTTTAAATTTTTTATTTCCGATAGCTCTTCTATTGTCACATCTGCTAGATATATAGATTGTGGATTATGTTGTTGTATTCTATTTATATCTACATTGTCCATATCTAGGTCTCCTAGAATTTGTGTAGCATGTGTAGCAGCTGTTTTGAAGTAATTATTAAATTTATTGCAGGCTAGTTTAGGACAAGTTACAATTTGGTCATCAACTTTAGTTCCATTGAAAGTAGCCAAGTTTTTATTAGACCTGCCCAGTTCCGTATTAATAACGTTCCAAATAGCCTTTATTTTATTGTCTGATTCATTGATTTTTTTGTTGTAAAGATGTTTTTTCTCAGATAGCAGCAGTTTAGAGTAATACCTTTTATATGCGTTAAAATCTTCTTTACTAATAAGCCTTTGTATGTACAATTCTGAAAATAAATTTAAAGTATTTTTTGCCTCGCGAATGGAATTAGACAGCCATTTACTCTTTTTATGTTTTTGATGCGTTAGCCTCTTCAATGGGAAGGCCTCGTTGAAGTGTTGGAGGAAAGTTTTAATAAAACAGTTATACATTCTATCTACAGTAATTACTTCATACACACATAGCCAAGTTTCTTTTTGTAGTAACTCATAAAATTTATCATAATTTTGTTTACTGAAAAAACGCTTTACCTCAGTTACATTCCCCGGCTTTTGTTTCTCAGTCAATACATATAACCGCTGTTCTTTATGATCTGAAAGATTTGTATTTAGGACATTCGCACTGTAATCTAAAAGTTTGAGTTATATAAATGTTATCAATACAAGTAGATGATGTCGGTGTAACTCTGGTTGGTTCCCAAATACTAACTTTCATATCATAAATGTTTAGCATGTTTTTTAACATGGTCTGGTGTTTTAAATTCGATTTACTTAGCATATCTATATTAAAGTCTCCTGCAACCAGCATGTAGTTATTTCCTTGCGAAGCAATTTCCAACATTTGGTCCAATGAATTTAGGAAAATATCTCAGCTAGTTGTAGGGGGCTTGTGAACGATACATAATACATATTGCCGATAGTTCAATACAATACATAGTAAACACATCAACGCTATAAAACTTCCTTTAAATATAAATCGTTATTTTTTCTAGGTGGACGACAGCAGAAGGACTCACAATTATGATGAATTTATTTGTACATTCCTCTCAATGTTAGCAGAACAAGGAAAATTAGCAGACTTAGTGGAACAAAATTTGGTAGTTCCAAAACGACCTAATAATTCTACACCAGTACCCAAGCCTACGAAAAAAAAGAAAGATGGTGGAAAAAGAAAAAAGAAAGGTCGTTCGAAGGTTAAAAAGAGACGTTAGGATTAGAATTGAACTTTTTTTATTTGCTTATTAATGTATTTATATTTTGTTTTAGGAATGGTAATATAATTTATTTAACAAATACTTAGTTTTTATTAATTTTAAGCACACTCTACACTCACGCCAACAATTTTCCCTATGAATAGGCTTGGACTTCGCAGACCAAAATGCTGTATCTACTATCACACTGTTTACAGTTGTTTTCATGCACTGCTTTGTAATGTTCCAGATGTTGAAGTACAAATTAGTTGCTCTAGGAAGTACTCATATTTAAAACACGTATTATTTATTACTATGAACCTGGACATATCTATAATTCAACTATGATACTGTCATGATGTGAAAATATGGATAGCGTTCGCATTTCTCTTTCGAGATCTCTTTGAAGCCGGTACGAAAAACTGTCACATACATGGATAGGAATAAAAATCATCTACACACGTTCACGGGATTTCGTTCTGTGAATCCAGAGCCAACTTTATCGCTCAACATTTAAAGAATTTCTATTTCAAAATGAATCGGTGAATCAGTCGGTCTTTGAAACTAGTCATCATACAATACTAGAGATGTGTTGCGATTTCGCTGTCAGCGATTTTGTCGCCGCTACTTTCCTGTCGCTGGAGCGAACCGCTCCGGTTCTTTCAAAATCACTGCAACTTTTTGGAGCTGGGTTTGATTTAGGCACGTTTTAATTAAATGTCGCATCGCATATTTATCTGATGTGAACTGGAACTGCGATCAGAACGAAAACTATTATATGCTTCTAATTGCAGTCGCTGAAATTTGTATAAAACAAATAGGTCATCTACAATAGGGTGGCCCAAAAAAAAACGACTATTTTTTTTAAGTCTCGTGCGAAAATATGGTAATTTATTATGTTTTAAGACACCCTTCAAAAGGCAGTTCAAAAAAAATTTTTAGGGGTCGTCGCTCAAGATTTTTAAACATTTCAAAATTGGATTGTTCTTTCAAATTTTTTTGCTCATGACGGTAGAATTTTGTGCCCTAGAAAAACAAAAAAATTCTTAAATTTTTAGCTCAATATATTAAACTGAAATTAATTCTTAATAGGTTTGTTCGTAGAGCGATCCACAACCGTTTCCAACTGAACAGCGCATGTGCATTGAATATTTTGCGTTCGTAGAAGAATCACTGATAGTTTCCAATTATTAGTTTGGCGTTCGTAGAAACAAATGAAGTGATTTCCATCTGATTGGAAACGGTTGGAAAAATCCCTGACTATTCTACGGATTTTAAATCCGGGGCATGCGCACATAAAATATGTTTAATAACCTACAATTCGACATTTGTTTGGCATGCAATTTATGTGTTTATCATTCGTCCGTGCTTTTGTTGATTTGATTAGTTGTTTTTTTATGAGTGTAATTAATACACATACATAAAATTTAATAAAGTATAAAATTACATAAGACCACAAAAACCTACCATCCATTATTCTGATAAAATATCAGGTTTTAAGTTCAAAACATGAAGGAAGGATTCAAAACAGGTAAAAAAAGTAAAATTTTTTAATAAAATGCGGTGCAATTCCTTAAAAAAAACACATACGTGGTCATTCTGTGACTAATGCTACGTCAAAATTCAAATATTTTCTTCTTTTTTTATCCGTTTACTAAATCTGTATCTAAAATACGAGAATAGATAGAGATGAATCCAAAACTCTACAAAACGCGTTAGCAGAGCATAAAAATTACAATAAATCCCAAACAGTTGGAAATCACGCATGCGTATCATAAAAGAATCACCAACCGTTTGAAACTGTCTCTACGAACAAACCTAATATTAAGATTTAAAGGTCGCTCGAAAACATCAAAAGCAATAATTTTGTATATATAAAAAAAAACTTAGACGACCTCTAAAAAATGTTTTTTGAGCTGCCCTTTGAAGAGGGTCTTAAAACATGATAAATTAACATATTTTCGTACGAGACTTGTATCTTGGCAGCAATAGTAATCGACCGTTTTTTAATATTTAAATTTTATTTTATAAAAATTAAATTTATTATTATATTTTTAAAAAAAATATTGCACAAAAGAGCGTAGATTGCCAAAGACGTGAAAAAATTACGGTCATTAAAACTACTTCGAAGAAAATGCAACGATTTAAAAAATTAGCAGCTATTTCTTATGTGAGGACGTGACACAGGTCACAAGTCGCGATCTAGTATATCGCTCCGAAAAGTCGCAGCGATTTGTCACTGCGACTTTTTCGGAGCAGTCGCTGTTTGTCGCAGTGACACGAAAATTTCGTCGCAGTGACACGAAAATTTCGTCGCAACCCATCTCTATACAAAACCCAATATGCAGCAGTTGATGAAAATAAAAATACCTAGATATTCAGTGCCGTAGATATTTTAATGCAAAAAACAGTCTAAATATGAGAATAACATTTGTTTATAGAGAATAACAACAAAAAAGTATATGATTAATTAAAGGTGCTTTGCATTATTGTACTTTTATTAGATTTGCAATTCACTATTTTCACTAAGATTATGTTGAAACGGAACTATAAAAAGTGTTGAATGATAATGCATAATGATCAGAGTTCTAAAATATGTTAGTTAACAGATGCGGATGAGGATTCGAATGTAAGAAAATATAATTTTTATTAATTTTTATTTATTTATATTCATTTTTATTAATTTTTATTCATTTTTATTAATTTTTATTAATTTTTATTAATTTTTATTAATTTTTATTAATTTTTATTCATTTTTAATAATTTTATTAATTTTTATAAATTTTTAATTATTTTTATTCATTTTTATTTATTTGTATTCATTTTTATTAATTTTTTTTAATTTTTATTAACATTTATTAATTTTTAATAATTTTCAATAATTATTTTTTTTTTAATTTTAGTTTATTTTTATGATACTACTATACAAAAATCTAAAAACCACAGAGCATATCCTTTTTTATGCTACAATTATAATTTTTAAGTTCCAAAGTTCAAGAAATGTATACTTCTATACTAATTTTCACCCCGGTTTTCCCCCTTTAAAATGTGAAAATCCAAAAACCATGAAACACATCATTTTTGATTTTTAATCAGTAGCTCTAATTCAAATTTGTATGTTTCAAACTTTTAATAACAAAAAAATATATACATACTATTAAACAAATTTTCACACCCCCCCCCCTAGTTTCTCCCTTAAAATGTTAAAATGCAAAAACCCTGAAACACTTCATTATTTATTTATGATAAGAACCTACGATTCCAATTTTCAAGTTCCTACCTTAAAAAAAAATCGATATTTCCAAATAAACTTTCACCCCCCGTTTCCCCCCCCCCCCCCTTAAAATGTGAAAATCCTAAAACACGTCATTATTAATTTGTATTCATTAGCTGCAATTCCAATTTTCATGTTTCTAACTTTAAAGAGAACCAAAAACATAGATACTTCTAAATAAATTCTCACTCCCCATTTCCCCCCCTTAAAATGTAAAAATCTAGAAACCCTAAAACATGTCATTAATAATTTGTAGTCAGTAGCTGCAATTCCAATTTTAATGTTTCTAACTTCAAAGAGAACAAAAAAAAAATCGATAGTCCCATACAAACTTTCACCCCCTATTTCCCCCCCTTAAAATGCGAAAATCCAAAACCTCTGAAATACGTCATTATTTATTTATGCTTAGTAGCTGTAATTTAAATTTTCATGTTTCTAACTTTAAAGAACAAAGAGTTTCATTAAAAGTTCCCTCTCCCCATTTCCTCCAATTTCCCCCCTTTAAAGTTAAAATTTCCAAAAATCCTTTCTTAGCGGATGCTTACGTCATAAAATCAACCTATGTTCCAAATTTCATCTTTCTAGGATCAGTAGTTTTGGCTGTAGGTTGATAGGTCAGTCAGTCAGTCAGGACAAACTATTTTATAAACAGTGCTTCTCAAAAGTCCCCTCCCCCTTCTTTTCTTTTGAACGGTGATACTTTAGACCGATGAAATTTGGAGGTTGAAAATTAACTATTGTGAGCTTCTCTACTAGTGGTAACAGGTGACGTAATAGGCATCGGTGACGTCACCAGGCAACTGAAACCAATGACATATCAAGTGACACCTCGTTTGAAAGGTATTTAGAATACCTATTTAATCATACTATTTTTTTGGATTTACGATGTTTTTGATGGATAAAATAAGGTCCCATTTAATATTATTGGTTGCAGTTGCCCGGTGACGTCACCGATATCTATTACGTCAGTTACCACTAGTAGAGAAACTTACAATAGTTCATTTATACCCTCCAAATTTTATCTGTCAGTATCACCGTTCAAAAGAAATGAGGGGGGAGGGGACTTTTGAGAAGCACTGTATATTAGATAATGTATTGGGTTTTAACTGTCATGTAGTGATTTAGAATAATTTTTGTCACTATCTAAAGGAGCAGATTCATCGACTATGTTGCTTTGTGAAAATTTTTTTTTAGTGCCGTATAGTTTATTACGCGAAGGTGTAATTATGAGGGTGTGGATGAGGATGCAGATCTTTTAAAAACAAAAGTTTCGGATGCGGAAGAGGATATCCAAATATGTGCAGATGTTCCGCAGATGTGGATATCCTATACAACACTGATAATGATATGCTATTTTTTCACAGATTTATTGTGAATGTAAATTCGTACATTTTCAACAAAAGCGTCTTATTACTGTTCCTAAAATTGTCGAATAGAACTAAGGAATTAAATATGACCAGGTTCTATCAGCAGTTTTGAGTTCCACTTTGAAAATAGAGCCATTAATATAAAAGAATTTTGTTGGAATGTAGACATTTTTACCAGTTCCAAGTTAAAGTGAATAAATCAAGGACAACTATAATTACATTGAGGTGACTATGTCCCCTCCTCGACATAATTACCCAGACAACACACCAAATCCCAGAGATATCCATAGAATATCTTTTGTGGATATCAAATATATCCACAGGATATCAGAAATATTCCGTGGATCTAATATGGATATCCAAATGTCCGTCTATATCCAGAATATAGAAGATATCATATGGATATCCAGCAAAATATCTAATGAGTATCTTCCAGACAATACAAGAAATCCCAGATATATCCACAGAATATATTCTGTGGATATCCAATATGGATATCCAACCAAATGTCCGTCTATATCCCAGGATATACAAGAATTAGGATATTCAGCAAAATATTTTATAGGTATCTTTAGTGTAGAGGTTCATAAGTAACCAATGATTATTGAATAAAGTCTAAAGAAAATAACAGAGATACAAATTATTTTCAACACTCTGCCTTTGATTTTGCCCATTAATGAGAAAGTTATCCTTATTACATTTAGTGGATATCCACGATGGTTTGCGTTCACGCCTAGACTTTGATATATTTAGTAGATGTCGATGGGGATATTGAATACACCTTAAATTTTTTTTTAAATATCTGAACGGTACTGTTAGCCACAATGGCGTAATTTTCTAATAATTTAATATATAATTACTATTATTTATGAACATTTGCATGTCTATAAATTACAGCTCATGGATATAAAATAGATATCTACCATGGACTGGACAATGTGGATATTGGGATGTTCAGTAGATATCCAAAGGATTTGGTGTGCTGTCTGGGAAATTATGAAAATTTCAGAACCTCTACTAAGTGTCGAAAATTAAAATGCCTTAATTGTGAGCACGCCTCAATCACTGGATCAACTGTAACATAAGTCCGAAAGACACCTAATAAAGTCAACAAACTGTGCAAATTTCATTAATGTCTGTCAAAGCCGTTTTGGATATTAATAAAAAACTAATAGCCTGTACAACAAAACGGAAATAAAATTGAACTACCTACCATTATTTTTCTATAAACCATCGGCTGGCGTAAAATCCTGAAGATATAAAATACCTACGTTCATATGAACGCATGTCCTCCTTGTATATTTTCCGTCTAGCTACACTACAGCACTACTCACTCTTCAAAAATAAATAAAATATATATAAATACCTATTTACACTTTGTAAGCTTTAAAAATTCTGGTCGTGGAAAAATTATAGTGTGCAACATACGCATAAAACACTTTTTTTCCTAGTTTGATTTATGTACTCATAGTTGAAGTTTCGCATTGCGAAATTGTATCACAATCTGCCACCTAAATGAGTTTCCACGTACATGATACATTTTTTCTAAGTTATTTCAAGCCAATCTCTCAACTTTTATACAGGAAAGTTTTTCTGATATGTTAATAAAAAAAAAAACGGATGATGCAAAGTTTTTGAATCACACTGCATAAACTGTAAAACCATGTCCGAAAAACATTTCATAAAGTTGTCAACAAACTGAAAATTTCATTAAAATTGGTTAAAATCTCTTTTAGACATTGATAAAAAGTATTACAAAAAAGTAACACCCTGTACATAAATAATAAGGAACTTGAACCACCGATGACGTATTTGTGTAGATGCTTAGATCGGGTAGGCTATGAATTGCGTCTTAGGTACATGAAATTATTGTAAAATGGTTGCTGTGAAAGTGAAAGAACATTTTTTAAGAAATAACATTGTGATTTAAGTTTTTTGTGTTAGAAATAATATGAAGAATCATTTTAATTCAATTATTAGGTAAGACGCATATTATTATTATTTAAAAAACGAAAATCTCTTTTACTGAGGCTTTTGCTAATGTTATGTAGGTAGGTACCTACATCGTGCATACACAATAAATTCATGCATTTTTTAGCAAGATTTTTTGTTGTTTGGTAAAACTTATTTTCTTTCCTTATCAATGTTTGATAGGTAGGACATATTCTTGCGTTTTTGTTCTCTAATGTATTACCTAATCGTAATTCCGTTGAATAATTTTTTATCAACATTCACCTAGGTATTTTGAATCAACAAAAACGAACGGTTTGACTCTAGGTCATTATTCTTTTTTAGCATAATAAAGGCCAAATAGTGTTTTAAAAATAAAAAATTTACAATTTCAACTAATGATTTTACGACAGTTTAAACAGGGTGGTCTGGGTGGTCTAGTTTTTAGAACAACATGCACAGCTCTTGCTGTTAAAATCTGGTTCTGGTCGAGGAAATTAGCAATTAGTTGCTAAAAACCCTATTCCACTGTAAAATATTGTTGGTGACAACTTTGTTCGGGGCAGATATTCAATTTTCCATTATATTTAATAGATTGTCAATTAAATTGGATAACAAAAATGCCGACAAGATTGAACTTGAAATTTGAAATTGTAAAACACCATCGGCGCATGCCTGACGTAGCGCGGCGGCCATTTTATGAGAAACCGACAATTGAGGCATGGGCGTAACATAGAACGGGAATATAAGTAAAATAAATTAAATTTTGATGTTTAAATAGGTGAGTTAGATTTTTTCCATTTGATCTTCAATGATGCAGTTTAATTATTATTACCGATTGTCATGATTATCTTTAATGGCGACATTCAAATTATTTGATTTAATTGTGACTTCCGCAGAGCATAGGGGTATTTTTAAATACAGGTTGTCCAGTTTATTTAATCAGGATTTTACCAGCCGATAGTTTATCGAAAAATTAAGGCAGTGTGCGTGATAATGGTCATTTTTTAATTTTTTGTTCCACATAAAATAATTTTTTATTAATACCTACCTATAAATAGGGTTACTATATTAAAAATTACAATTTCGTGGCATAACTATGTAATGAAAATTCCAAACATTTCCTTAAAAAAACGAACATAATAATAAAACTCCAATTTATAAAATAATTACTAAACGTTTTATTAAAAAAAGTACATATATCGTCAAAAACTAAAAACCAAAACACATCCTTATTTAAAAATTCGTGAAATTAAACATAAAACATTTAATACAAAGGGCATATGCAAAAACAACTACACAAGAACCATCGATTGATTGAAGTGACATTTAATATAAAAAATAATTATAAAAAAAGAAAATTTTATATATATACAGGGTGGCTCACGCTCAACGGGACGGAGCTTTATGGGAAAACGACCAAAGATATAACAAATTCGTTTGGGAGGAATACGTAGGTTACAGACGGCTACAATTTAAAATTTGTTAGATGTATACAGGATGTCCGACATAAGAGAAAATATACAGAGTTATATTATTTTTATTGGAACACCCTGTTTTTTATTTTAGAATTAAAAACTACATCAAAAATAATGTCAGTTAACTAAAGGTTCCCTATTACTATTATTATTAGTTTTCGATTTATTTGAATTTTTAAGGAAAACAAGTCTCCCAGAAATTAATTGTTTACTCTTGTTTGAATAATTTTTAATGAACTAATTTTTTTTCATTTATGTGGGACATCCTGTATACATCTAACAAATTTTAAATTGTAGCCGTCTGTAACCTACGTATTCCTCCCAAACGAATTTTTTATATCTTTGGTCGTTTTCCCATGAAGCTCCGTCCCGTTGAGCGTGAGCCACCCTGTATATAAAAGTATAAACAAAAATAAACACATATGTATAAAAAAAGTAAAATAAAATTAGCTCTCTTTTTTTTTTTCGTATTTTTGATTACCAACGGAATTTTAAGCATACCTTACGTTTGATGATTTTTCTGAAAATTCCGGACAATTTATAATTCCCGGCGCATTCACATTTTGTTGAAAACTTTATGAAATATCTTTCGAACATGTTGCAGTTGATCCAGTAATTCCAGAGGCGTGCTCATCAATGGGGGGCACTTCGGTTAGTTTTTAACACAAAAAATATAGTCCCGTAGACTTAATTTTTTTATAATCTTTTTTTGAATAAATTAAATAAAATTACAACTTTTTTCTTAAAATACTTTGTTTTTGAGAAATAAATTAAAACTAACAATTTTGCACGTCTCTGATATACAGATACAAAGAAAAACACCAAATTTTAAACTTAAGCTTAATTCCGGTCTGCCGTGAAGTGATTAGATTTTGGGCAGAGTCGGGGGTACTTTATATGGGGTCATTTTTATATTTTATAAAATATATCTGTTAGTTACGTTTGGAGAAGAAAATTCTTTAAATAATAGTTACTTCTTATATTATTCTCTATAATTTTTGTTCCATACAAAATTTTCCTAGAATGGTCCGTATTCGAGAAATTTTACAAAATGTAAAAGATTTTTAAGAAAATTGTTAAACTAAAAGATGTTCGCAATATTTGTTTTTTTACATGATTTATCTAAAATGGACTATAATGAAAAAATTGGAGGAAAAGTATAAAATTTAAAGTTTTCAGTATTTTCGTTGGCAATGAATATATATGGATAAATGTTTCGAGTTAGATGTACGTGGAAAATGTATATATTAAGTTAACCTCTAAATATTTTTAGAGGTGCTACATACAATAAATTGTACAAAATAACCGAAAAAAAAGCCTGTAATAACTAGATGTGTTGGACACGGGTGCAGAGCTGAGGTACTCAGTACAAAAAGTACTTGAAATAAATACTCAGTATTTTTTTTACTTAAAGTATTTATGAACTAACGATACTTTTTGAAATGTACTTATTACATTTGAAAAAAAGTACTTGTACTTGGTCTTAAATTAACGCTTTTGTGGTAAGTAATACTTGTTACTTGAAAAATGTACTGGAAAATCAGAATCTACTTAAAGTTTTTTTCTGAAAGTACTTAAGTAATTTTTAACAGTAAGTACTTAAATGGAAAATACTTAAAGTACTTTTGAAACTATTTTAAGTACATATTTATTTTAAGTATTTTATTAAAAATACTACAACGCCAAACAAGCTAGGACTCGCATTTCAAATTACCCGGACAGTACAGTAAACACGCTCAAACAAATTAAATCTTTGCGACACACGACGTCTAACGTGTGCCGATGCCGGACTTGTAGTTCACAGATACCTGGTACTAATAATACTACTCGTAGAATAAGAGTAATAAGCATACAGTCCTAAGATAGTGTACAGGTAGACAGTATCTGAAAATAATTGTGATTTAGATAGGTAGGTGAAATAATATGATACATCTATTTTTGTTGGGTTCTATCTCGTATCTCAATGTTGTGAGCAAAATGCTTGAAGAAATTAATTTTTCACATGTGAAAAAAAAAACCTGTTTTGCGTATCTATTACGATATAAAAATGTTTTTTTAACAGTTGTAGAAAAAATATTTTTTCTACGCCCACATGGATATTAGCTTATCTACGCACAGACTACAAAACGAAAAAGTTTGTTTTTGTGTTCAACCGAAAGAATATATTTCATATCCATTCCAGGTGGCGAGAATACTGCAAAAATATGAAATCTACCAATCACAGTTCACATTTTGGACACCCAAAACTACTATTATTTTTAAAATTTTAAATAAGTGATAATCCTGTCAAACTAATTGTCAGTATATTTTTTAGTTATTGAGATTAAATATACATTAAAATTTGTTATTTTTGTGTAAAAAAGATAAATAATCGTAAATAATAGCATTTTTATTTTTATTTGGACCATATTTTGAAAAAAAAAACATTAATCGAACTATTAACAAGTAACAATGTAACAAAAACGCCGAGTAAAACTCAAGATTTCAATTATTTTAATAAACCAAGTATACATTATATATATTATGTTATACACATACAAACATATTGGATAGCCATTTTTATTGGTCATGTCTAAACGAAATAGTAGTGTACTTTATTAATTTATACAAAGCTATATATGTTGAGTTTTAAGTTGATAACTCAAGAGGGGATCTTTAATTTAATATATACTTAAAACATGACTTAAGTAATTAATATTTCAAAATACTGAATCTTTAAAACTACTTTAAGTATTTTTAACATATTTTCAGTACTTAGAATTACTTCAGTATATTGAATTTACTTTAAGTATTTTTAAGGTATGTACTTGCTACTTATACTTGAAATATTTGTTTTAAGTAAAATACTTAATATTTCAAGTACTTTTGTAAAATACTTATACTTAATATTGTAAGTAGATTTGGAATTTAAATTACTTAATACTGATTACTTGAAGTACATTTGCTAAATACTTATCACAGCTCTGCACGGGTGGCACAAAATTTATCGAAAAACATTATATCGAATTGAAAATTTGATCGAAAATACATTTGATCGAAGATATATTTTATCGAAAAGACAATAGATCTAAAATTCATTAGTTCGAAAGGACAATATATCGAAAATCAACATTAAATATAGCAAAATATAAAAAAAAAATCAAACGTCACCGTGCAACCGTCCGTCTAATCTCTACAACTGGGGAAACTAAACTCAGCTGTTATCAAATTAGGTACTAATGGCAAATTTTTTTGATAATTTCAAACGATAGTTACCTCGTTTAACAAATTTTATCCTTACATACTGTTAAATTAAAAATGAATATTTTAGAGCTAAACGGTTATTTATCTTCATTGAGATTAAAGCATTGTGGTTAATTCGCACAAAATATGTATTTCAATAAGGTCGAGTTGTCTCCCGGTGGGGCATTTTAGGTAGGTTAATTTAAGTTTTATTAATTTACCTAACCTGTGCGTTCTAGAGCCGTCGAAGGTTGCTTCGTAAAAAAATTATACAAAAGATAAAATAAAGAAACGTAACTAATTTTCCTAACCTAGAGCAATTTCAGTTTAACTGACTGACTCAGACAGGTTAGGTAATTTAGTTAAGTTTTTTTTTATAAAAACTAAACTAACTAACCTAGGGTGAGATTACAGAACGTCTGCAACTTTGCAGATCTGCAAATATGGCGGACTTACAGATTCAAGTATTAAGTTTTCGTATTCCAAAAAATATCTGCAAATTCGCAATAAACCACAATGAATTTTGCTAATTTGCAGAAATTTTTTTGAATACGAAAACTTGATACTTGCATCTGTAAGTCCGCCATATTTGAGGATCTGCGAAGTTGCTGCCATATTTGCAGATCTGCAAAGTTGCAGACGGTCTGTAATCTCACCCCTAAACTGTGCGGCATGGAGCCGTTGTGGTTTGCCTCGCAAAAAAGATTATAAAAAAATTAGAAAAATAAGAAAATACCTAACCTGTGCTATTTAAATTTAGCTTAAAAAATATTCTTTATTAATTTACCCAACCTCTACAGCCTGGCGCTATATAGGGTTGCTTCTTAAAAAAATTATACAAAAGAATAAAATAAAAAAATTGACTAAGTTACCTAATCTGTGTGTGGCCTGAAGCAATTTAATTTTAACTTATTGCTCTCGCACAGGTTAGGTAAGTTAGTTAAGTTTTTTATAATGGAGCTTTCCTCGCAAAAAAATATAAAAAAATGAGGATAATAAAAAATAACTAATTTACCTAACCTATGCTATTTAAATTTAACTTGCACAAATTAGGTAGGTTAGGTAAGTCAATTAAGTTTTTCATATTTTGTACATTTGTTTTTGCAAAGCAACCACCGATGACTCTAGGCCGCACAGGTTAGATAAATTGGTTGAGTTTTTTATTTTTTCTAATTTTATGTATATTTGGTTATTCTATCAATTTCTTTTTCTATCAAATCTATTTTCGATCAATTTTCTTTTCGATCATTGTTCTTTTCGATAATTTTTCTTTTCGATCAATTGTTATTCGATAAAATGTTTTTTCGATCAAATGCATTCGATCAAATGTTTTCGACCAATTTTGTGCCACCCGTTGGACACATCAGATTTTTTTATTTTTGATCAAAATACTGTTGACAAGAAAGTTTCGCTATTTGCAAACTTATTAATTAATATTTTTGACAGGATATGCCTATCAAGACTATCAGAATAACTAAAGTACTCTAGGAAATAGCGCTTACGATAAAAAAGTTATGTTAACCGTCTGACACGTGGTATTTGAGCTCTATAGTAAATTTGAAGATTTTTTCTTCCATACTATATGCGTGCGCGGGCCGGCCGTTTCGGAGCTAGGGGAGGGGGAAAATCAAATAAAAAAATTTCCTGTTAACCGGCTGTAGTTAACGGTAACAGGCACTAGTACATTATTTAAGAATATGGTACTCTAGTACACTCGAAGCAAAATCTAGTACTTTTACTTTTTTTCAACCCGTTTCCATTTGACGGATAAAATACTATATGGTTGGGTTTGTCCTTATTTGTGTTCGTTTTCGATAAAAGCTTATTTTTTGCTCTTCTGAACCAAACCATTTCAATTCGAAAAATTTGGTACAATTTATAGAAACTGGTTCATTTTTATGGAATCTGGTACATTTCTCACACAAATCAGGTACATAACAAAAATATATTCTGATAACACTGGTCTCTACTACATTCAAAATGGTTCTATTTTTTTCTAAATCGCTTACTTTTTATGACACTAGAGTGTTATGGACCCCCACCCTGCTCTTTCAATTTAAGTGAAAACAATTAAATAATAAACCATTAATAATACTCACCTCTTGTATCTGTTAGTCCATTTAGAAACAGCGGCACCATTGGTCAAACACATCACATCGCTTTATAAATAGAAGGAATATAATTTTCGAAACGCTTTTTTCAAATATAATTTTCTTATAATTCGAATAGTAATAGTTTTTTTTTTACAAATATTTCATTATGGGAGGGGGGGGGGATAAATTCACCGACCTCGAATTTTATATAAAATACAATTTTAATTTGGGACATAACTTTTTTTTATAGTTCGGTTTATTTATTATTAATAACATTGTTATAAAGTGTATTTAGTGTGTGATGTGTCTGCCAATGGTACCGAATAGATACATTAGGTGAGTATTATTATTTGTTTTTACTTAAATTCAAAGAGAGTGAAATTTTGTACAAAGAAAATCGCCTTTTTAAAAACCATGTTTGGTAGACTTCTGTATTATATACCTCACTGATTCTAGAAATCGAATAGTTTTCTTTAACCAGTAGAATGTAGGTAGCGATTTTTAAATACTGTATATTCCGAAATCAATCGTTTTAACTTTTGGTCCACACACAATTTTTTTACTCAGGGGTACCCAAAGATGTATAACCAAGACATAGAGGATTGTTTACAAAATTTCTAAAGCCAACGCTAAGCGTCTTCGGCAGAAACACAAATATCTGATTGAACATTATAGCCAAGTTTACGGTGTTCTTAATTGACAGTAGTAATGCAATCGTTCTCATACGAGATGTAAAATCTAACAACCGCGCAATAAGAAAATCAATATTTGTAAAAGTTGTAAATTGGGTTCTTCATTCATCTTACAAATTTAACTCGGAAATTTGTTTATCAAATGTTCGTCCCATAGGCGTACAAAAATACATTTAAATACCAAAAAAACGTATTTAGCCACAATAAATTATTAGTAAATTTACATTACTTTAAAAATGTTTGATTAACTGTAATAAGTTTTAAATAAACTGAGTAGTAATCGGATAAAGCCTTTTCAATAAGTTTTTCAAATATTATTGAAAA